GTACTGTTGCACGCGCTGTGAGCCACACGGCGGCCGGAACGATAGTGTGTTCAAGGCTATCTGCGCTGAGTACTTGTGGTAGTCTTTGCTTCGAGTTTTCCGTGTCGTGTTTGCATTTACGCACACGGCCCAGGACCAGCAGTGTCTGTTTATGCACACATGTGTAATGCCGCCCGGCTCTGTCCTTGGCTGCTGGCGGGAAGGGTCGGCGGGGCTCGCGGGAAGTGGACCGCTTCCGGGGGTAGGATTCCCGCACGTTTAGAGGACGACTGTCGCTTCGCTTCCTGGCTCCATAACCGCCGGTTTGTAACGGAGAACACCGCACATCGTGTCCAGCCGCCTCGCGCCTGCAGTCGGGCTGGTAGTGCAAGGGCGTGCAGGTCTTCTCACGCCCTGTTCTGTCCTGTGGCCTGCCTGCGTAGTAGAGGTCATTTCGCGATGAAAAAGACTCAGATGTGCACTCAAATGGATGTAGAACACCATTCTGCGGGGACGTGCCTACTACGCCATTGAATTCCCGCGGTCAAAATGGTTTGACTTGTGTTGCGTTCGGATTTATGGAGCTCAAAGTTGTTCCGACAAGCTTATCCAAACGTTGTGTTCGTGTGATCGCAGACATGCGTGGCCGCTTCACCAAAACTTAAGCTGTCAGCCTTGTCGATATCAGCTGAAAGCTACGAGCTAATTATAGACATCAGCCCTCAAACCCAGTACGAGGATCAGGAGAGGAGGAGGAGGGGAAGGATATCTATCTAACGTGTCGCATAATTTCCCCGTGTCCTGCTATCTTTTATCAGCGTTCTTTCATGCCATTCATTCATGAAATCCGCGGGCCGGACCGCCCTGAGATGATCAACTGCCCCGCAGACCCGCCGCTCCGAGCTCATCTGTCAGCGCATTGCATCATCCAGCACGTATGCGGGTGAGGGGCGCAGCGCCAGGGGCGTGCGAGCCAGCTGTTTGCCGCGGTCACGCGGCCGGTTCGGACACGGCACGCAGGTTTCCGCCGGACCCCGCCCCAGTGACGGCCCCGGCCGCTGGGCCGGCCTGGGCGGCGCCCATACAGCGCGCCGCGTCCGGACACTGACAGGTGGACAGGGCGGGGTCTGACCTGTTGGAGGGGCGAGGGAGGGGGAGCGGCGCGGAGCAGAGCGGTACGCCGGCGAAAATGACGAAGTGGACTTCCTATTCGTATCGATACGAAGCATCAGCACTGCTCTATTTGACGGGCAAGTCTCCCAGACGCTAATGGAGCTTATTTCGCAACGACCGGCGCTGTGCTCCGCGATACAGGCCCATGATCGCTCATCATGCGTGTTTTTTTGTGGGCTGACGACGGCCGGTGGAGGTGCCAATCGACGGTTGGCGCGCGTGCGGCGAATGGCCGCTGTGAGGTCAGGGGTCAGGGTCACGCAGGCGGCGGCCGTCTGCGAAGCCCACCGACGGCGCGCGCGGCGGGGCGGCCTGTCCGCCTGTCTGGCTCGGCTCGGTCTGCCGGGCACCTGAAGGTTACTGAGTGGAAGCCCCGTAACAAGGTAGGACAGTTTTAAATCTCGGCTGGGCGGAGTCGGAGGCAAATGCTGCCGACACTCGGGTCTAATTATGACGTTTGAGTACATCCTTAGACTAATAAGTAGCCTAATGTAGCAAGTATAGGTGTGGTATAAAGTGCGCGTTTTGCTTCCAATTTAAAACAGTCCAATTGTTGAATTCTTGAACGTGACGGCTAGCCAAAGCCACCATTGCTTGTTGTTACCACCATCGTTGTTACTTTACATTTATTTTTGTCAAGCGCGCAGTGAGCCAGTGATCGTTCGACATTTGGCACACATGGGAGTTTGATGCCCCAGCATTGGACTGCACTTGCATGACACTGACACCAACAAAGTACCACGGCTGTCCGCTGACTGATTACACTTGTTTCGGGCTCGCCTTGGCCTAGAACACTGAGGTGGCGTCAGTTTTCACTCGGCACCCGACACCCACAGTTCACCTTGTGAGCGACCCTCCCTCCGAATTCGTCACCGTTGTCGCCGCTGCAGTGCTCCAGCTCGCGTTTGAAGACGTGGCGTGACGTGACGTGACGGTGCATGCCGTGTATCCATGTCATCACTGGAGCTACCGCTGGCAGAATTTCAACGTTCCAAGGTTACGCTATCGGCCATGCCTTAACCAATACAGAGCAGCCGCCTTGCTGGGCGACGCGGGTGGCTTTGGGTCAAGGACAAGGCAACAATCATCAAGGAAGTGGACTTTTAAAACCAAGCACCCAAAACGTCTCGCTTCGAACTCGCGTTGCGTGTTGCAGTAAGACATGTTTACAGCACGCGGCCCGTTATTCTTACGCACAACACAGCATTTGTCCCAGGAAGTCAAAACAGTGCCGCTGATGCCGAAAGTCATGACAGGATTGTGGCGCACGGTGTGTGAATGACCGGGAGCCAACAAGCCGAGCCTGTCGCAAAATATGTGCCTTGGGATCCCGCGCCGCTGATCTTGCGGGACGGCGTGCGACGCTCTGGCGCTTCTCCATGGCTCAGCCCAAGAACTGTCAGCCGTAATACACCCTGTGTGGGGGGCCTGAGTCCAGTCGTGCACCCATACACTGCTCCCGCTCATCCGCGCGCCCGCCTCCAAGACGTGACGCGACGACACGGCCGAAGCAAGTACAGCGCGGATCCTCAGGACTCGACCCTCTCCCCCATCCTGTGGCGGCAGATGCTCTCCGCCCACCTAGACTGATGCCATCTAGAGACGCCGGCTGGTGCACGGTACGCCTACAGCGCGCTGACGGCTGCCGGGCGGAGTGTGACGATGCCGTCGCTGGTCTGCTGGCCCTGGTCGGGCCTGTGGGCAGTCATCATCTTGGACACCCGGCGCGGCAATGGCTGCGGTGGATCCTACGCGGCAGCCGTTGGTCTAAGCTGTTTGTTTGCATTCATGTAAATGGCGAGGCGGCGTATACCTGCTTACTCATAAGCACGGCTTCAGTCTCTTCACGGTATGGTGTGTGTCTGAGAACTTATGTCGGAGCGTGTGTTGTTATGCGTTTTTGCTAAGCGTTAAGCTTTACTACATAGGACCTACTTCGTCATACGGGTGTTGCACGTAGATTATGGTTTTTGTCCTGCGACCTAAGGCTGCACCTTTCCTGAAAAAAACACCAAACACGTGCATGACATATTCATCATCCAAAATTGGCTCAACTTCAGGGCCGTGTTTGCTTGCGTTACTTTTGAACCCGCCAAGCATAAGGTCATACAGCTCACAAATGACACAAGTTCTCCTTCACATCACACAGGATGTCATCGGCCGAGCGAGAGCGTATGCTCGAAATAGGCCATTGTTCAAAGGACAAAAGGAAGGAGATAAGAGGTCGTTAGATAACGTTATCTGTGTCCAGACGAAATATCACAAGCCCATATCACGGTCGAGATGTGTGACGATGCAAAAATGCTCAGTGAAAACTCTTGCAAATGCGAATGCGTCTTCTTGGAAAGTGACTTCGGGGTCTTTGTAATTGGTAAGCTTGTTCATACACTTGTGGTAGATGGCAAAAAGAAATCACGGTGGTCGAGTGACTCTAGTTTATAAGCGTTCAATTTTGATTTAAACCATATGCTCGCAACGATACGAGCAAACTCATAACAAACGAGCGCTAACACCTAGCCGATAAAATTGGCTTCCGAGTCGGCGCCGCATACATTGTTTCAAAAGCAATCTGCCGAACCCTGTGCACCATGCCCTGGACTCGGCCATGGTCAGGAAAGGCTGGTGGTCGCGGCACGGACGTCGCAGCTGACCGGGGCTGTCACCCCAGCACCCTGCGTAACGGTCCCCGTGACGAAAAACGCGCGCCGTGACCCAGGACGAATCACGCGCCGCCTCCGTGACGCCGTCACGTGACGGCGTGGCGTGACGCCCCGCGGTGGCGATTGTCCACAGTTGCGATTAGATGGTCCACTCCACCCTCGAGGCGGTCACGGAACACGCGGTCAGGAGCGGATAGAGGACATGAGGCAGGGGTGGATGCAGGAGACGAGGCAGAGGTGGACACAGGACATGAGGCAGGGGCGGATACAAGACATGAGGCAGGGGGGATACAGGACACGCGACAGGGCTGGATATAGACAGAGGCGGATACAGACAGGGGTGGATACAGGACACGGGGCAGGGCCGGATACTGGGCAAGCGACAGGGGCGGATACAAGACATGAGACAGGAGCGGATGAAAGACATGAGACAGGGGCGGATACAGCTGGCCCACGCTGAAAAATGTATGCTGAGCATCAAACAACCTGCGATACACATTCACAACGCATGCGCGCCACCTCTGCCTGTATCATATCTGACGTGGGACAGAAATTAGCCAGAATGGGAAACCCAACAGCTGGTGCTGTGCCTTGCTCACGTCTCAACAAAGACGGGCGGAAGGCGGCCCACCATGCTGCCAGGGCGGGTTCAGAAAAGCCCGGCCGATCACGGCAGCGAGGTGTGGACGCGTGTTGTACCTCTGGTCACGCGACAACAACAGGGGCGGGCCGGCAGATAACAAGAATGGAGTGAGCACGAATGAAGGCGGAGCTGTAGATGGCGCGGCAGCCCTAGAAAGGCAACAACGGGGTGCTGCCCATGAGAGCTGAGAACGAACTGGGCTCTTAGGACTGGCGCGCGGTTATTTACGGGGGCCTGGCGATATCCCGCAGAAACCTCCCTATGTCGGACCACCTCAGCGAAGCACGAAGCGCCGTCAGCGGGCGCGGGACGATTGCCGGCACCGGCTGCTGCTGCCGAGGCAGCGACGCCGACACCTCCAGCGCCCCGCGCGCGTCCCTTGACCCGTGGGAGCTCCCGCCGTCACGGCCACCGCCTGCCAGGCGTGACGTCATGCGGGGTGAGTCAGCGCGCGACGGTGGTGCCGCCCGGCGGCGGGAACCGGCGGCCGTCGTCACGGCCGAACGGCTGCCTACCTCCGCGGCGGCGCAGAACGCAGCGGCGGCTGGCGGCGGGTGGTGCGTTGAAGTCGCTGGGCGCGAGCGCCTGGGTAGAGGGGACCTGCGTGTGATATTGTGACGAGCGAGGCGTCCGAGGCGCGAGTGGTGGCCTTCGTCGCGAGCAGCGCGTTCGCCTCGCGCTCGTGGGATCGTCGGCTCCGGGGACGAACGCGGATCTGCGGAGTTTCTCTCCGGGAGTGACACGGAAGCCAGGTAAGCGAGCGACTGTCTGGAGACGACGGATGGCCACGCGGCGGGCCGGCCGGTTTCTCGACATATGAGGGTCACACCGTTCGTCCGTGCTCTCGAACGGCAGGACGGCGTCAGAAAGTAGCGACAAAGCTGTAACGGTGGGCTCAAATAGACTTATTTTGCACCGGTTAAGCTGGCGTTAAAAACGCATGCTTGAACTCTGACCGTTGAAGAGCTAGCAAGGCACAGATTTTGTATGTAATAACATGTTTGGTACAAGTCAAACATTCCACACAGTCATAACGAAAAGAGCAAGTGGATGTAACAGACGCCATGTTATGCTGCTGTTGCGACCAGTAAACTGTCCCATGACACAATGCATGCGCTGCTGGTGTCTGAAGGAGGCACGCTGGAGCTCGTGTCTGGTGTCTGAAGGAGGCCTGCTGGAGCTCGTGTCTGGTGTTTGAAGGAGGCACGCTGGAGCTCGTGTCTGGTGTCTGAGGGAGCCACACTGGAGCTCGTGTCTGGTGTCTGAGGGAGCCACGCTGGAGCTCGTGTCGGGTGTCTGAGGGAGCCACGTTGGAGCTCTCGTCTCTGTGACTAACCAGCGGCATTTTCCCCATCGCACAAAGGTGTGACGTCAGTTAGTCATGCGGTACCGAGCCTGCACCGAGCCGGTCGGCCTTGGCATGCCGCACTCGGGGAGTGGACCGCATCGGTGTGCTGCCCCCCCCCCCCCCCCTCCCGCCTTCTCTCCGACTCTCTCCGCGCCGGTGGCGATCTTGTCCCGGCGTGAGCGCCTCCCTCCTGTTGACGCTCGGGACCCGGGTGCGGTGGGGAGCCGGGCCGGCGCCGGCGGGGAGGTGGGACTGAGGGGGTGGGGAGGGGTGCGGCGCCGGGACCGGTGCCGGTCGGGAGGGCTGGCGAGGTCACGCAACATGCCGCAGCGCTATTGGTGCACGGGCCTGGGGCCGAGGCAGGCCGACGTGATACGTCACGGAGTTGGAGAGTGCAAGTACCTCCTTTAACGGGGGCGTGACTACGGCTGGAATGGATTTTAACGGGAGGAATGCTTATACGGGACGGGAGGAATGCCTTGTGCGGGAGGAGTACCGCTTACCCCTCTGCGAACTCCTCCACTCCATCCAACCACCGCCGTCCTGGCTTTTGACTGCATTACTCTTTTCGTCTCGCAAGCTCGCTGCGGTACCTTTCTGTGCCATTCGCGGTTGTTCACATTCGGTCCCTGTTTTTGAAGACCCTGGCTGCGCCTTTGTCCGGTAGTGACCGTTAGAAGGCCACTGATAGGTGACGTTGGGGGCGGGGAAGACCGTCCGGGGCTGGGCGTCCCGACGGCATCCCGCAGCCGGTCCGGGGTGGAGGGCGGCGGGCGTGGCTCTCTCTCGGGAACGACACCGGCTGCACATCGGCCACGGCAGCTGCGGATGTCAGTGGAAACACCGAGCCTCTAACAGTTCCACACTGACACAAGTAGGTTTTTCTAAGCTGTCGGCGTCGGCACCGCACCTCCCCCACTGTCGGCGTCAGGACATTCCTGGCCGACTGTCGGCAGGGCTAACACGGGGACCGCGCTCTCGGGGCCGCGCTGTCGGCGTCACTCAGCGCGATGATATGTGCATCCCCAGACACGGACGCAGTCCCAGACACGGACGCAGCCCCAGACACGGACGCAGCCCCAGACACGGACGCAGCCCTAGACAGGACACAGCCCCAGACACGGACACAGCCCTAGACACGAACGCAGCCCCAGACACGGACGCAGCCCAGGCGCCCGACAGACAAACAAGTCGAGAAATCGCGTCCAAACGACATACCAGACATTCTATTTACATCACGCGGTGTCGGGACGAAGGCATCACGCGAATGCGAACTGTTACGAATAATCTGATCACTAGACACAAGCGCACTTCGTGCGTTAAATATCACACAGCCGGCGGTTGTGTGCGGCCGACAGCCGGTATGGGGAGAGGCCTCCGCTCTGCATCTCCACCTCCTCGGCTGGCGACCAGCCTTGTCTTCGTCGCCACGGTTCTGTCACGGGAGCAGTGACTCAGCGTCACTATAGGCTGGGCGTGCTTCCGGTCCCCAGGGCCGCTCCCACGAGCTCAGCGCGCCGACGTTGCTTAATGGCCGCCGTCCGGTGTTGGCGTGCTCGCGGGAGGCGCAGGAAGCCAGCCGAGCCGTGCAGGGTCGTGTGCAGACACTCCCAGTCCGGCGGCGACGGTGACGCGGGCGGCTTGCGCCAGGGGCGCGAGTTGCTCGTCAATGGTCTTTGGCTCTGGCGTAAGGCTAGAAAAACCAGCGTAGATGGGTAAATTGGGCTGAAATATCCAGAACTCCGTGCCTGGGTGCGGTCCCGCTGGTGATCACTGGGTGCAGTGACGCCGCCGGCGCCGGCGCCGCCGCCGCCGCCGCCGCCTCCCCAGGCTGTGGGTCTGTGAACTGGAGTGCACGGGGCGGTCGCCGCCGGCCCTGCGCGTTCTCTCCGCTGCTCTCCTTTCCCCCGTCCACCCTGCGCCCGTCTGTCATGCAAGGAAAGTGAAATTGAGGCCGCCGCGCGCTACCGGCGCCTCCCACGTGTGTTGGCGCCGGTGGCCGGCGCCGGCGGCGCTGCCGGCAGCGCGGCCGGTGGCGCGGCCAGCAGCTCGCCGCAGGTCCGCGCCGCCCCTCTCGGTATGCAGGTGCGCCGCTTCTCGCCGCGGCCTGGCCGCCGGCTGGGTTTCAGGGTTGGCGGATGGGAAAGTCGTCGCTGGCCGGTGCGCCCGGTTTTTGCGGCGGGTTCAACGCGCCGCCGGCGCCCCGGCCGCCGGCTCGCCCGCCGCCGGACGTGGCAGGGGAGGACGCGCGGGGGATGGGTGGCCGTGGACGTCGGTGGCACGGGCGGTGCCGGTGCGGTGGCGGCGGGCTAGGCAATCCGCTGGCCTCGGTCCGAAGTCGGCGGGCGACCGTGGTCTTGTCGACGAGGCGAGAGAGGAGTGGAGCTGGGACGATTCGATTAACAGATGGGCAAGAGCGCGCCTTGGAGAAGCACAAGGAGCCCCAAAGCACTATTCGTACAATGCGTGTCGATGTGGGCGGGGCAGGCAACGCCCACACGGCTGATTGCGCGTGCGGCGTGCAGTGATGAGCCGCGCGCGCCGTATGGAACTTAGTGTTTGTGTGAGCGCTGGGTGGGTGGCGGGGGGGGGGGGGGAGGGGAATAACCATTACAGTTGACACGCCCTCAACATCCAATAACTAACTAGCAGTGTGTGGAGCGCATTTATTTGGAGATGACATCCTCCTCGGCACGTACACCGTGGTTAGTGGGATGTAGCGTAGGTCACATTTTGCACGTAGCCTGCGCCTACTAAACGTCGCGCCGTATGCCGTATATGCAGTGACATCCGCTGCGCATGTCGTGCGTACTGCGCGGTATCCAGCGAGCCGTGATTGGATGGACGCATAAGTGGCGCAGAACAGGCCGTCCAGCTTTTTCACGAGCGCAAGGCCGGAGCGGAAAAACGGGCTCTTTTTGCCTGTCAAGTGACCCGGGACGAGAAATCTCGCCTTTGTTAGCCCATGGTACGTGCCGCTGAGGCAATTCAATCACGGTTCTCATCTGTGAAACATCATTTACACAGCGTGTCGGAAATTACTGCACGGATTTCTACAGCCTCGGCCGAGGATGAGCCAACGGCCCCAATCAGGATCCCAAGTGGTCTCGATCTGATGAACGGACATGGCCGCGGGAGGCCGGCTGGCATTTTCTGGACCCAGTGACGTCACGTGCCTCCGGTGTCGGGCGTCGCTGCTCGTGCCCCGGTCACTCGTGACGTGCTGAAGCGACGCCCTTGATGTCGCTCGGCGGCGAGCGGTGGCATCCCGTACTCCGCCCCTCGTGATGTATACATGCACGCCCGCGTACCTGACGCTCCGGTGCCCGGCGGCGCCATCGCTTGTCCGCCCCCGCCCCCCCCCCTCCCCGCCCCGGGTGCGCCGTAACCCCCCGCGGCAGCGACACGAGTGACCATTGACCGTGCAGCGCGCGTGCCGGGCCGGTACGCTCGAGCCGTCCGCACTCTTGACCGCCGCCGCCGCCGGGTGTGTACGGCAGCGTGCGGAGGTCAAGCCGACGGTAACGGGATCCTCGGCGAACACTGTCGGTGGGCGTAGAGGGAGATCGGTGCTCGCGCAAGCACGGCCGAATAAGGCCCGTCCGTTACAGCCCGCTGGCAGTGAACAGGTCAACAAACTCGTGTTCGATGCCTGCCGCGAGCGTCGCTCCTCGTGCGCCGTGGACCGTGCTCAAGTGCCTCCCAGAAACAAACACGCACCCGCCCTGATCGCTCAGCTAATGCCGGCTTGTCCAAACGGGCCGGCCGCCGTCGTGACGGGAAATTTGGCGATATTTTATGAATGGAGGAAAACAGGCCCTCCATCACCGCTGTCGACGAAAGCGATGCGCCTCGGATCGCGGCGGGTGGTGACCCCTGACGGCCGCTTGAAAGCGAACGCGCCGCCGCGGTCGGCTTGAATGGGCACAGACGGCCACGAACAGCCGCCAGTGAACTGCGCTGACGAGAGCGAGCGCCGGCGTGCGCTTCCATTCCGGAGATACGCGCCCTCCGTCACGTGACTGCCGCGCCGTCTGAGAACGGCGGCCACGTGGTTCACTGGCGGATAGAAAGTGCTTCTGGTCTGGACCGAGCCCGGATCTGACCCAACGGTGTGACCTCCGTGACATGAATGTGGCGCTCTGACTCACCCCCCCCCCCCCCCTACACATCCACCGGTGCGTCTTGATGTCCGGTCCTTCCGGTCTGTCCACACCCGTTCCGTGTCCGGTGGCATCGGTTAGTCATCAGTTGGCATCGGCGGGGCCGGGCGGGCGCACCTGACGAACCGGTGTCTGCGACGCCGAAGAGCCGGATCTGGCGCCCAGATTGCTCCCCGCCCGTTGTGGTCGAGCGAGGTGCGGGGGGGGGGGGGGGGGGGTGACGGTGTTGGTCGGAGACGTCCGCCTCTGCACTGGTGTGGGCTGACTCAAGGCCCGATTACATGCAGGCAGCGGGGACAAAGGAGAACGAGGTCGGACCTAGATCTGAACAGCGACCCGGCACTCCCCAACGCAATCCGATGATGTACTGGACTCGGAGGGACAAATTAAAGCTCCGAAATTGTATCATTGAAACACGTCAGTTCTGACATCACTCGGCACGGTGGTTTTAAACGCTGATGTTTCCAAAAGGAAGTGTTATTTTAGCCGATGTTTTTGATAAGAGTGCAAGTTTGCATCGCAGCTTTTGCTGACAGCTGCAACAGCTTGTTTTCAGCCGTTGTGTCGCTTAATGAAGCGTCGTTTTTTTTCTGAACAGCATGATACGCAACTTTACTGTGGTGCACCGAGCTTGGCACGCTATGCAAACGCGCGGCGTGCAATATGACTGTGACTTTTTCCCATGTGTTTTGCCTAACTCAGTGATGGCGTACTCGATGCCTGCTCTGGACCAACGCTGCTGTTGAAATGGGCTTCGTGACTCGACTAACGCTGTGTCTACCGGTCAGACCACGGCGGGGTCTGCCGGTCAGACCACGGTAGGGTCTGCCGGTCAGACCACGGTAGGGTCCGCCGCTCAGACCAGGGCAGGGTCTACCGGTCAGACCACGGCGGGGCCTGCCGTCAGACCACGGCGGGTTCTGCCGGTCAGACCACGGCGGGGTCTGCCGGTCAGACCACGGTAGGGTCTGCCGGTCAGACCACGGGGTCTGCCGGTCAGACCACGGTAGGGTCTGCCGGTCAGACCACGGCGGGGTCGCCCCGTCCTCGTGTCTTGCTCCATTCGGAGCTCCTGGGGTGGCGCTGCCAGTGGGTGCCAGCCCACATGCAGCACTCGCCTAGCGCTGAATCCAGTTTGGGCTTCTCGGGGTTAGGCACAGCGCGCCGGTACCGCCACGTCACGAGCGGCAGACGGGGTCTCGTCCAGCTGCAGACGGGCCTCGTCCAGCTGCACTGCAGACAGACCCCTGTCCAGCTACACTGCATACCGCCCTCACTGCGTGCAGCCTGCGTGCTCCATCAGGCCGTCCCTTTTAAGCTCCGTGCTTTAGGTGCAGCATATAAGCCCGCCTTGCCTTAGATGGGTATTGCTCATGGTGCTCGTGTAAGAAGCTAGTTTTGATAACGCGGTCGTGATCGGTCGCTCTTTCTTCAGTCTCCGAGGGATCGGCTCCTCGCGGTCCCGACGCGACCGTGCAGCCGCCTCCAATGTGTTTGTTTTCTTTTGATGCGTCGTGACTGGCGTGATGCAAGGCTGAGTGTCAGCAGTGACGTCGACTGCTGCTGTCGTGAGCTGTTGTGCTGACTGCGGCGGCTGGTGTGCTCCGCTGCCGCAGCCATCTCACGCATCACGTCTCTCCTGGCAGTGACGTCGACTGTGCTGTCGTGAGCTGTTGTGCTGACTGCGGCGGCTGGTGCGCTCCGCTGCCGCAGCCATCTCACGCATCACGTCTCTCCTGGCGCTGATCTGTCGCGTGGCCACCTCTGGGGATCCCCAGCCGCCGCAGCTGCCCCACCTGACACATGTGTCGTTAAGTGCTGACATGCCAAGCGTGTTCTAGTGTTGACCTGCAAAGTGGCCTCCTTCGATGACCCGTAAATGCCGCAGCCACCGCACCGGACTCCGTTTTCAGTTGTCTCCAGTTCCAGTGAGGCGTTTCCAGTACCGAACGCCGAGTTCCCCCCCCCCCCCCCCCCCACCCCGCCGAGTCTCCCACTGCCAGTGTGCCCACCGCTGAGTCCCCCCACCGCCGGGTCTCCCCACCTTACGTGCGTCTCCCCACCGCCGGGCCTCCCCACCACCGAGTCTCCCCACCGCCGAGTCTTCCCACATCCACACCGAGTCTCCCACCGACCGAGTCTCCCCACCGCCGAGTCTCCTCACCGCCGAGTCTCCCCACCGCCGAGTCTCCCACTGCCGAGTTTCCCCACCTCACGCGCGTCTCACCAACGCCGAGTCTCCTCACCGCCGAGTCTGTCTCACCACCGAGTCTCCCCACTGCCGAGTCTCCTACTGCCGAGCCTCCCCACCGCCGAGTCTCCCCACCACCGGTCTCCCCAACTAACGCACGTCTCCCGCTGCCGCAGGTGCCGCCCAAAGCGAGCAGACCGGTTTTCCACGTCGGCCCGAGCCTCCGCGCCCAGCCTCGGGCCCGCAGCATGGCCGCCGGCCGCCGCCTGCTCGGCGTGCTCCTTCTATGCACAGGTACGTGTCGCGATGGGCCGACAACCCGATAGTCCGATGGCCCGATGGTCCGATGGCCCGATGGTCCAATGGCCCGATGGTCCGATAGTCAGATGGTCCGATGGTCCGATAGTCTGATGGTCCGATGGTCCGATGGTCCGATGGTCCGTGGTCCAATGGTCCGATGGTCCGATGGTCCGATGGTCCGATGGTCCGATGGCCCGTCGGTCCGATGGCTCGACGGCCCGATGACCGTGCAAGCACGGAACATCGTCGAGGTGTAGATGGCGGCTCGCTGTCGGCGCTGGACTTCATTGCCCTGGGGAAAGGTGGAAATCATCGACGCTGTGCCAGGGTTGGGTGCGGGGGATCCCGTGAAGCTCGTGGCTTCCTGGGGACCCTTGTGAGCGCTACGCGAATGTCTCGCGAGGAGGAAAATGTTGCAGAGCGTAGGACAATTTATATTGACCCAGAATATATCGTGTCAGAAGAATCAGATTTTGTTCGAAGGCGTGGAAATGGACACATCGTGATTTTTTTTAGGATGCGTACGCTGTCTGTGGTGCGCATTTCACGGTGCAACAAAATTTTGTGCAGGGGACCCGTCGGCCCTTGTAGACCTCCCCACCCTCCCGTTATCGGGCTCCGGATAGGTAAATGGTCCGTCCACCAGTGAAATTCCGGATCTACCCTTGTGCTGGACTTAATAACGGGTTTGCGACGAAATCCAGACCATCACCAACGATGTAAAGGCACAGCACAATAAATTATTACGTTGTGACTTGTCAGCCTAATTAATCAAACGCTTGACAAAACGGACTGGAATACATTTGACGTAGTGGGTGAAATTATCAAGGTCCGCAATACCGGCACGATTTATGTTGGTTCGTTTCAGTTTAAGGGCGGTCTGATAATGCATGCTCGTCAGGGTCGACACGCGGGAAAAGAACGCGCCGACTGTAAAATATTCGAACCAGGTGACGGAGAAGCCTTACTCCCAGCCTCATTATCACGTCCGCCTCGCATCAGCCCATTCACCGCATTTAACCGCCGCGAAATTAACTAGTTCCCACCATCTGCTGGCGCTGTGAGATCCCGTGCGGCGCCTGACCATCGCTCCGGGGATAATAACCGGGCACGGCCGGCCGGAGGGCGAGCGGGCGGCGTCTCCGCGCGTCCGGCGGCCCCGCTGGCGGGCCGCAGCTGGCCGCGGCGCGGCGACGGTCGCGTCTGACGCGCCAGCACGCGGCCCTACCCAGCCGAGCTGCTGTGTGAGGCTGGCCGAGCGGGGGCCGGCCGGCGCGCGGCTCTGGAGGCGGAACGCTACGGCGGCGTTTAAATAAGGGGGGGGGGGGGGGCGGAGCGTTGAGTGGGGCCGCTGTTTTAAACCTGCGCCGGCTGAGAAATGGGGGGGGGGGGGGAGCCGTTATGTCGGTGTCGGTGGGCCGGTTTTGTCGTGCTGAAGAAATCTGGCAGGCATCACATCGGGCCCTGTTTGTTAAACTCGGCAAGCGTGTATTTGTGTTCAGCTCTCGACTTTCTGGCTTCGTCGCTTCCACTGGCCGAGGCTAAAGGCTGACCTGGTTGTGGCGAATGAACCGGGGCGGAGTGAAAACGTTGCACGCAGACGGGTTGCTTGGCCCGCACCGGGTGAACGAGTTCTTCACGTGAGAAACCCGCCTGACGATGTCAAGCTGTCAAATCTAGGGCTTATCTGGGCCAGCACGTGTGCGGGTCGACTCCCGGTACTGTGCAGAGGCGCCGAAACATAATCCTCTTAAGGAACCTGAGGCAAATGGATGCACAGGACTCCGGGGCGAGGTCAGGACCGGCCAGTGAAGGCTATTATGACCTTGGTTCGGCCCTCAGCGTGAGCAGCAGTCAGTTTTCCCAAATAGTCAGCAGTCAGTTTTCCAAGCCGCAGGAAACCGGACCACGTATGGTCACTCCAAGAAGTTTCCCCAATTACATGGCGGCGGGGCGCACCCGCGAGCGCGTGCGCGGGCTGTGCGTCTGACGTGGACGGCTGGTCACGCCGCCGCCGTGGGCCTCGTGGACGGACGCTGCTCCTCACCGGCAGCTCCAGCCGCCGTGGCCTCCATCGCGCGTGGGAATGGGCGCGGATTTCGATTTCTTCCACGCCGGTGTCGCGTGGCGGCACAAAGGCGGCGTCACTCAGGCGGCTCGGCAGCAGCGGAGTTGAGCGGCGCCGCCGAACGGCATCTCTGGTCCAGGGCTCGGCAGCGGCGGAGTTGAGCGGCGCCGCCGAACGGCATCTCTGGTCCGAGGCTCGGCGGTAGTCAGTTTCGGCCGCAGTGTTTTCCTTCGTTTATTTTTAACGCATCGCGTGCAGCGCCAAACTGTCCACGTTCAAACACGGCTGAAGTTGCGGTGGATCTGGAAGGAAATTGGGCACACAGTCTGTATGAGTGGTTAAATCGAAATATAAGACCGCTCTCCCCTCCTCTCGCTCTGACCAGGCTCCAGGCTTTCGGCCGACGTCTGGTGGTAGGAACGGTTCTTGGGCATCCGACTGCGGTGAGCTCACTTGCTTGTTACTTTCAGCACCACCCCGTGAAATGTCTCTAGTCTTGTCAACTCGAGGCCGGACGTTGCCACACGCGGCGCGTTCGAAATAAGCCCGGATAAATGCGCTTTGAACGAACGTAGCGGAATTAGACTGGATTTTCCGGAGAATACGCTGCCGATGTTGCCAGCCAGCTTACCCCCGCGCTGCAGCATCTGTCCCTGCTGCGACGTTCGCTTGCCACTGATAGCAGGTTATGAGGCCGTAACAGTTCGCTGACAGGTCACGGGGTCACCAGTATCCGGCAGTGGATCACTAGAGCCACTGTCTTTGCGAGCGGTCGTCCCGCAAGCCGCCGGTAACGTGGAATGTCCGGTCATAGCCCGGGCGCGTTGACCGCGTGTGAGACAGTCTTCTGCTGGGGCTGCTTCTGAAGAGCGTGATGAGTCACTTCCGTTCGTGATGAGGGCCGTGAAATCCTGAGCGTATGCCTGTCCGGACGTGGTGGCGACCACGCGACTTGCAATGCCGCGGTCGCTGGTCATTGCTTGCGGTGGAAACTTACCCCTTCGCTGACATGTGGAGCTTACTTCCGGAGAAGGAACAAAGGCTGTCTTGCGCAGTCAAGGGCATGAAATGCAAAGGGCATGCCCAGCCCAGTGGAAATGCCGTGAATAAAAAGGTAGCCTGACAGCAGAAGGCGATTCATAAGATGTTACGACGTTGTCCTAAGCAAAATTGTACCTTGCGTTTGTGTCGTGTTATGTCTTTTGATTCGCTATATTTCAAAATTAGTTGAGTTTTGTATCCGAATCTCTCAATCACCGTTACGCTGGCCTCACGTAGAGCGAGAACAACGAGGGAATCGAGGGCGACGGCAAGGGGAAGGGGGGGGGGGGGGGTTGACCGGGCTCAACGCCCAACAGACCACGGAGCTCGCCAGTTTTCGAGCGTTAGGCTAGCGGTGCCCGTCCGCCCGACCTGCCGACCGATGGCAAACATATGACGTCACCACAGCGGCTGCAGTGACGTCAGAGCCCGTCGTGGGCTGGGGTGGGACCCGACCGGTGTGCCGAGACTGGCTGGTGACGGATTTTGACGTCCTTCGACACTGTGACGGATGTCGTCAATGATGACTGGTGCCGTCTAAGTCAGTCACCGTCCATCCCCTTGTAAACAAAGGGCGTTGACCGCACTTTGGAACTGGCTGCTATCATTGAACACAGTCGTGCTACCGGAACAGTGGGTGTGTAAGTGTAGTTGCACGTGTGTGCCTACGCTTACTAATTTCTTACATGCGTTTATTTCCCACCGGATTGTCTCATTTGCGGGCTTTTTAATGTCATTCGCATTCTGGCTTTGTTTCACCAAAGCTCACATTGGCCCGACTGTCCCCGTTTCGTGCAACGATGACCGGCGTGTGCCTGAAAGCGCCGCCGCCGGGTCGTGTGGGATGCTGCAGGCGAGGACCCCGCGCCTGTCCGTGTCTTTTGTTGTTGCCGGTGTCCTCACGCGGCCGCCCTGTTGCCTGCATGGACCTTTGTCCTGTAAACAAGCAGCCCGTTGTTCTAGCGAGAGTGGCCTCCGGCGCCTGCGCGTTGGTTCGGGAGGGCTCGTGCGTCCCCTGGCACGCAGGCCACGCGAGCGGACGGGCTGCAGGCGATGCATCTACCCCCCCCCCCCCCCCTCCATCCCTCTACCCACCCACCCACCCCCAACCCCGCACAGGAGGGCCGGATTTCTGCGACGTGCCGCGTTACAACAATCAGAGAGTTGGTCGTCTGGTGCCTGTGCTCCCATCTTCTGGAGGCTGTCTTAACAATGGGCGATCTCAAGCGACTTGTGGCCTCTCAGCGATCTCAGTAGTCGGAGAATTGGGATATCGGTAGTGTAGTGGCTAAGCTGCTCATGTGGGAAGCCAGAGGCACGGGGTTCGATTCCTCACGGTGTCCGCCCCACCTGCCAGGGTGAGAGGCGGGCGACGCCACACAGCCTGAGCAACGGAGTTCGCCGAGTCCCAATGACACGCACCCAATCAGCCAGCCGACCGGTTCGTGTCGGCGAGCTTGTCTTCTGGCGGCGGCATTGTGCTCGTGCGCCAGGCCGACCAAGTTCGGCCGACAGACGCCTTGTACGGATCCGGCCGAGGAAAGGTTACGCGATTGGTTCGTGGTGACGCATCAGAAGCTGCGCGGCTGGTCTCGTGTCCGCGGCGCGGGCGGCGCCGGCGACAACAACAGCCGGATCAGTGCTGTCTCGGGGAGAAAGCTGGAGCGGCGTGGGGAACAAGAACACGTCCGTCTCGTGCGGGCCCGTCCAAGGACAGGACCAGGGCTCGTGGCTTCAGCTTGTTGGGCGAGCTGAAGGAAGCTGCGGTGTGCTGCGAAGCCGTACAATTGATCCAGCCCCGCTTAGGCTTATAAAAAAACGCGACAAAAAAGCCACGCCACGGCTCGCCGACCTTGACCTTAGGACCTGAGCGACGAGTCACGTTACCGTCGGCATCGATCTCTTCCGTGACCTTGTAAATGAGGATTCATTAAGCCTGTTGGTGACGGATATCGACCAGCCGAACCAGCCCTGGCCTGAGACGTCAGCAGTCGATAGCGCGCTGTGAGACAGTGCCCTATTCCTATTCCGGTCGTATTTCTTGATCACTCGTGCGTTGAATAACAGCGTGTTAAATGTTGAAAGCGTTGCGCGAATGGGATTGTTTTAAAGGCCGTCGGCAGGCGGCGTTTGTTTTGCCATCTATTTGTAATGCAGCGGTTGTTTTGGTCGTTCCTACGGGCCGGTGTGGGACTCATTTGTGGTGCAGTCGGTTGTGTTCGCCTCCGGCAGCATCACCCACCGTCGTGACGTTCGTCTGTTCGTCTCTGTTCCAGCTCTAACTGTCGTCACCACCCAGACCTTCCCGCGGCGACGGCGACGACCGACGGACGCCCCGACGGACGCGCCGACGGCCGATCCGACGGCGCCCTCCGCCGAGCCGAGCCGTCGCTTTCTCTCGGAGGAGGAGCACCAGCTGCTCACCAGCCCCAGCTTCGGCCAGCGGTTGACCACGCGCACTCTCCGCCGCGACTGGACGCCCATCTGGCCGGGCGGCGGCGACGGCGGCGCGCCGGCGGCGGCGGCGCCGACGGTGGCGCGGCCCAGCCGCCAGCCGGCCGACGACGCGGCACCAAGCGTCGACCGCGCGCCCGTCACCGAGTACTACTTCGCCTCGTCGGGCGGCGCCGGCCGACTCGTCGTTTCCGCCGGCGCGCCTGCCGACGGCGACGTTCGCTCCGACGTCGCCGACGCGCGCGCTGCCGCCGCCGTCGTCGCGGCCGACGCTGCTCGGCCCACGGCCGGGCGGCACGCGGCGCGGCGGCACGCGGCTGGCCGACCGTCTCTCGGCGCTGGTGAGCTAGCCGGCCGGCGCGCACGCGCATCATCTCGCCCACTCGCTCAGCTTCCGGTCGGCCCGAGCTCCGCACAGCTGCGGCCGACGCCGGCGCCGACGTCGGAGTTGGCGGCATCCGGCGCGCCGCCCGGTGACTCGCTGGAGCTCGAGCCGTCGATGCTGCCCGCCTGGGCGGCGCCAGGCCGAGCCGACGAACGCGCCACCCACGCCGGCCGCGGCGCCCGTCACCGTGCGTCCGGCGGGGGCCGTGCGCCCGACCCCGGCGGCGCCGCCCTGCGTGGTGACGCCGCAGGGCCCCGGCGGCTACTGCCGCGAGGGCGACATGCTGACTGTGCTGACGCGCGGCCCGGAGGGCGAGTGGCAGGAGTACCGCACCGTGCAGCTGCCGTCGTCGACGGTGGCGGCGCTGGACGGCGAGGTGGCCGCCGACGCCGCCGTCGCGGCGACTCAGGACCCGTCGGGCGTCACGCCGCCGGCCGACGCCGAGGCCACGGGCGAGTCGACGCCGAACGGCGACGACGTCGGTCCGACGGCCGCCGGCCCGACGGTGGAGGCGCCGGCCGCGCCGCCGCCGACGACCGCCGCTGTCGACCCGCTGGCGACGCCGGCAACGGCGCTCGGCGACGCTGGGCCCTCCGCCGTCGCCGGCGACAACAGCAACAGCCTGCCTTCCACCGTCACCTGGCCGTCTGCGCCGACCGGCTCGACGCCCGTGTCGTGGTCGACGCAAACGCATGGGGCGTTCTCGTCGGCAGCGCCCGACGCGAAGACGACGCCGTCGACGGGCGACGGGGGGGACTTCTCGACGACGGGAGCGGCTGTCGTGTGGCCGACGGCGCCGTCGGCGCTGCCCGGGCCGCAGCCGCCGACGGCCGGGTCAGCCACGGAGCCGCCGACGGATCCCCGCGGCACGCCGACGCCGTCCGCGCGCCCCTCCACCGACGACGTCAAGTTTACGTCATCGACGCTGCCGACGGCGCCGCCGGAGGAGGGTAAGGCGGGCTCGTCGCACGCTCCGTCGACGACGCCGTCCACAGGGAGCACGGCTCCAAAGCTGGCGCCGCCGCAGCCGACGGCCGCCGGCGCGTCGACCACGACGGAGTGGTCTCTTCCGGAGGTCAGCACGCAACCGGAGGCGACTGAGACGACCTGGGAGGCGCCCACGTCCACGGGGCCGCCCGAGACGACGTGGGGGACGACACCCGAGACGGATGATAAAGGAGGGGAGACGGCGAAGATCAGGCTGCACGAGACGTCACCCCCTACCGGTGAGAGACGCGTCCGAAGTCAGTTTGAGTGCCTCAGGGCTGCCAGGAGGCTAATGCTGCTTGCCGTTTTATTACGAGCTCTTTTGAAATGTTCATTCGGGATGTGCTCGTAGCAGTGTGGCGCGCGTGAAATGCCCTTTTCAAGTCTTCTTATGGTTGGGGACTGGTCTAGAATGTGTTTTTCGGACAGTGTATCAAAAAACATGCGTTGCAGTGCACCGCCCAAGTACAACAGCATCAGTCTCCCACACAACGCGTTTGCGGGAAGCCGGATTACGTTGTTTGGCTCGTGCATCAACGGTTACCAGATCTTCCGGCAGTGATGAATATTTGTTCTTGCGTTGTATGTGAAGACGAAAAGCGATTCATATTTTCCTGCGATGCATTGCAAGCACGTTTGGTCGCGGTCTGGAGGCAAACTGCATGTTTCCGGGAAAATGCACCGATCCGCATCGTCGGGGTGGCCTTGATGCAAATCGCTCTCCGTAAAACCAGCTTTCTCTCGCAGTGATCAACTCGACATGGTCTGGTGACGAGAGCACCAAAGGCACTACCGGCTACAGCACCGGCGCGGACGGCTACACCACCAGAGACTACGACGGGTACACATCCAGGGACTACGGCGATTACACCACCAGCGGCTACGACTACACTACGAGCGACTTCGGCAACACCAGTGATTATCTCACTGGATCTAGCGCCATCCCTACATCCCCGGGCGGGTACACTACCGGCCCTAGTGCATTTCCTAGCAGCGGTAGTGGTGGTCACGCAACTGGGACCAATTACACCACAGGTTACCCTGCTGACGGTTATACTACTGAAACGAGTGGTTACCGCCCTACTGGCGACAGTGCCTTCTCGTCAAACCATAATTACACAACAAGCGGAACTGGCTTCACATCGGGCACCAGTGGTGACGCCAGCGGCGCCGGGTACTACCCGAGCACGACCAGCGGCTACCCAGCCAAAATCAACTACACCACTGGCACCACCGGCTACACCACAGACGCCAGTGGCGGCGGCACCGGCCCCACCGGTTTCACCGGAGAGACGACCGGCTTCAGCAGCACAGGCTTCACCACCGCGTACCCGACCGACACCACCAGTTACGGCACCACCAGCGGCGGCACCAACCGACCGTCGAGCACCCTGCAGCCGCCGGCCGTCACCAGCGGCACTACCAGCGGCACCACCAGCGGCACCACCAGCAGCACCAGCACCACCAGCACCACCACCAGCACCACTAGCAGCACTACGACGACCAGCCGGCCGGCGAGCAGCTCACGGCCGCCGGGCATCACGCACAGCTCAGTGGTGCCACCTGTCGAGCTGTACGTGCAGTTCCTGATCGCTGCAACCTGGCCACAGTTCTGTAAGCTGCGCCACAGCTTCCAGCAGCAGGTGGTCGACATGCTCAACAAGGACACGCAGAGGTCAGTGCACAACGCACTATTTTTTATTATTTCATTTAGAGTTTTTTATTCCGGTGCCAGGCTACACCCATTCTTGCGGTAAATGCAATGTCGATTTTTGCCACTTTACGCTATGCGTGCAATGGACCTTGTTTCGTACCGTTACCAGCAATTTTACGAGGGTTTTGACCATTCACACTCCACCTGATCACCACCTACCGTCACATTTTTCCGTCCTCCACAGCTGTCCAATTTTCTATGCTCTTGGTACGCTAGAAATGCTGCCGTGGTTTCTCTGACCGATTGGCGCCTTCGCCAACGTCATAGATCGGTGTGAAACTGAAAGCTCTGTCTATAGCAAAACTAAGCGAAACAATCCAATGGAAAGGTGCATACTAGTGATGTCTTCCGCCCGTAAAACATTTTCTGATTAATAGAGGGCTTTCTGGCCAGCCGTAGATGCGCGTGGAGTGGGCGTCATTGTCTTATCGAGGCTGTTTACTGTTTGAATGAATGCCATCACGAAGCTGAGGCTGCTCGTCGAGAGCGCGGGTGCAACACCGACAGTCACCATCCCTGTCTGTCTGTCTGCCTGTCTGCTATCTGTTGTCCGCCTGTCTGTCCACGTGTGTAACTGTTCCGACCCGTGCGCCAGTCGTGTTAGAATTCCGTGCAGTGCTCTGGCGAGTTTCCGGCTGCAGGTAAAAAAGCACCTGTCAGGCCGCCTGCCGTGATAGTCTCTGACAGTTAAGACGACAATGTGGGTAGCTCTGCAAGATTTTGAGCCTTGTAGCAGGGCCCCGTGCTGCTAACCGGAGACAATGACTGCCGAGCTGCGCGGAGACAAAGCTCGCCTCCCGAATTCCTGGGGTCTGGTGCCTCGCCTCCAGTTTTCCTTCCTGGAGGGAATGGTGGCAGGGAACGGTCTCGCTCGTGTGAGCTGGCGTTTCATGTCCAGTCTTCCTCCCGGCTGCCGTCCGGGCCCGGTTCGCTGGGCCTGAGAGCAGTGGCTGCCCGCCGATAGCGGTAATTTTAGGAACATTCCTAGCGCTCTTACCTCCAGATCATGAAACTATAAGGATATTACCCGATGGTTTGTATGTATTAGGACGGTGGATGACTAATACTGGTGGTGAAAACTGCATTCTTGCCGATGCGTATGCCCGTTGCTCGGAGTTTCTTCGAAAGATTGCTCGGTTTTGTCTCGTTTGTCTCGGCCCCGTGGCTTCCTGTGTGTTTTTTTCCTTTCAGTCAACTTGTTACTGAACTGCTCCTTGTCAACTGTCTTAGTCCGTCATTCTTTCTGCTTGCGACTCCGCCTCTGCGTCATATTTTTTTATAACGGCGACCAGCGGCGACTAGTTAGCGGGTAGCCATTTCCCGAAACACCGGCGTGTGCTGTGGTGACAGGAACACCAGCGGTCATTAGAATGCCTGGAAATCTAACCCTGACCTCCCAATACGAGCCTAACCCAGCTCTTCAATTACGCAACCCTGTCGTCCGCTTTGGCGCGTGCGACATCTTTTGCACGTATGAAGCTTCCCCCCCCCCCCCCACCTCACCCCTCCCCCCCACGCCACGCAAGGACTGGCACAGCCCAGTCCAATCTCTCTTCTCTCCTTTTGCAGCAACCTGACCGCGCAGAACGCGGTGCTCTTCAACATTCCGCTCTGCGGCGGCCCGGCGCATGCGCGGCGCCGCTCGGCCGCCATCTTGGTGTTCCTGTACGTGACGGACGCGGCCGGCCGCTACCACCGCCCTCTGACGGAGCGCGTGGAGCCGCTCTGGGAGGCGGGCGAGGGCGGCCCGATGGCGCGGCTCGTGCGGGAGGTGGACACCATCCGCCCCAGCCACCCGGCGTTGGCGGCAGAGCCGGAGGGTTCCGACCGCGCCGGCGTCATCGCCGCCATCACCGTCGGCTGCGTGGCTGTGGCCAGCCTGGTGCTGCTGGCCGTCCTGCTGGTGAGGACTAAAGGGGAGGGGCAGCCGGGGATGCTATCGGGTGACGCTGTTCACTGACACTGTTTGAGAGGTGATCTGCACTAGCAGTCCTTTCGCGGCCCTTGTTAACATTTCTACCTAACTTACCAGCAAAAGAACGGCGGTGGAACCCTTTGAGTGATATGACCTGTCTTGCAGTGTGTTTTCCCAGCAGGAGAGGGGGGGGGGGCACTCTTCGGCCAGCCGGTATTTTTTTACACAACTCGAATTCCTGGGGTAGTTGCGCCTTTCCAAGTGGCAGTGAGGACCTGGGTTCCCGGACATGACCTGCGTCCGAACGTGCTGCCCATCTGTCGCCGACTTGTCCCACTCCCGCGTGATGCAGTGCCTCCCGGGTTAGGCTGCACCACTCGTCTCTTTCCCCTGGGCGTATCATGTATGAGACGCATCCGCGCTGGAGCCAGCAGCCAGCAGCCAGCAGCTGGCAGCCAGCGCTGCTCCCCAGCTCACTGGCCATCACGTGCTCACCCCCTCCCCTCCCCCGTCGCCAGGTGGTCGTACGGCACCGGCGCCGCGCCGCGCAGGCCGCCCAGCGCTGCAACCCCGTCTCGATGGAGGAATACGGCGTCGAGTCTGTCTTCAGCTCGATGAGGCGCAAGAACAAGCTGCGCCGCTCGGTGCGCTCGTACCTGAACCACGCCTTTGACGATCACGACGCGCCGTCCAACGCCGTCAACTTCGCCGGCCTGGCCAACCTGTCCGGCGACCTGGCCGCCCTCAAAGGTCAGGGTGTGACCTGATCGCCTGGATGCATGACCTGGCTGCTCGCGAAGGTCAATGGATGCGAATTTCCTGGCCTGACCTGACCATGCTGCCTGACCGTAATCAAAGGTCAGACCGTGACCTGTGTGAAGGACACGGTGACCTCGGTGCACTTGAAGGTCGATTTTGTGCGTTGTATGACCTCATGACCTTGCCTGACCGCAATGAAAGGTCATGGTGCGACTGACTTGGCCAGGGCGCACGGCACGGCTGCTGTTGAAGTAATCTGAGGATTTCTCTGTTGTGGTCCGCGACTCCGAAGGGCCAACCCACGTTACTGCTATATTTACTTTACACTAAATGCTATTCATACTGCACTAGAAGACTGCCAAGGCTCAATTCTGACTAAAATGGTGAAGCTGTCGGGGCATGACCCCAGTCATCGTTTAACCGCATGTTGACGTCAGCGTTTTCCGTGCATCGGAGAGCAGTTCGGACAAAATTCCGTCTGATGACACAGCAGTGTGGCCATGCCGACCCTTCTCCCTTCCTACAGCTGCCTTGAGTTCTCCCTCCGTCACGCATGCTCGGCATGGCCGCAGTCGATTTGGGCGCGGTCTGTCTGACCCCGACTCGCCCGCCCCGCAGAGGAGTTTGACTCCATACCCACCGGGGTGATGCCGACGTTGGACGACCTGCCGGCCGGCAGCGAGGACAAGAACCGCTACGCCAACGTGCTGCCGGTGCCCGAGACGCGCGTCGTGCTGGAGCAGAAGACCGGCGCCCCCAATAGCGACTACATCAACGCCAACTACGTCCGGGTCAGTACCAACGACGGCTGTCTGGAAAGTGAGAGGTCTACGGCTCGATTCTCATCGCGGGAAACTTTCACCTGCCCGATGTATTTTCCACTAGGGTGGAGCAAGTTCGATGGCTGCCGCCGGTACGTGCACTGGCTATCTAGTGCACGCATGGAGAGAGTGTGCAAGAGTGAGTGTGTTGCTGGAAACGTTTGCATCGTTTTGAAAAATGTTACCTGCTCGCAGCGAGCTGAACAGTGCGCCTGCGCCGTGTTGTTTCACATGCTCTTTGCGCACCCAACCAATCGTCAAAGTATTTTTGGTTGGGATATTTAAGAAGAGCTATGAAACTCCGTTTAGTTCAGATAGTGCCATCCGAAAGATGTCACAAATGAGAGAATAAGGTCAGTTTTAAGTTCATAAACCCAGCCCGGTCAGGGCGATCATACACTGCATCTGTAACGCTCGGTGGCGATGATATCAACATAGCATTAGAAGCAAGGCGATTATCTGTTAATGCCAGCCCTCCTCATTGTACGCCTCTGCTGATCGTCAGGGACCTAAGGAGGAGTCCCAGTTCTACATCGCCACCCAGGGCCCGCTGGAGTCGACCGTCAACGACTTCTGGCGCATGGTCTGGGAGACGCAGTCCAAGGTCATCGTATGCCTCACCGACATCGTTGAAAGAGGCGTGGTGCGTTAAACTTGCTGATCTACTTTTCTCCTGCATCCAGTATGGGCATGGTCATTGTGTTACGCCACTGCCGGTCTGTCGCCGTTTGTCGCCGCGTGTTTTGTTCTGTTCTATCCTTCATAAGCGCGATAGTCTTTTATCGAGCCGTTCGCTTTGGCTGTCGACCGAATGGCACCACCTAGACAATCGCTATCAAAGCATCAGACAGCAGACCTTCAATAGCAAATAGCAGTCTCATTGTGACGCGCCGGGCGTTCATGTGCGCCCCACCCACTAGCAAACGCTGGCATTGAGTGAGAAGCACACAGCCCGGCTGGTCTCCCCTCACCAGTCATACCGTGCCTGAGAAGACCTTGACTCGCTCCGTCGAGTCACGCTGCCCGCCATAGACGAGCGCGCTGCTGATCAAACGGAACACCACACGGAACACCACACCACAGCCCTGGGGCGCCGGAGGCCCTGTGTACCGTCCGAGGGCGCATTGTTCGAGAGCCGTTCCGCCGCTGACTCGGCCGTGGCGGTGGCAGCACCAGTCAGCTGTTGCTGCGGCGAGCCGTGTTTGGGTGGCGTGATCGTCGAGCGTTCGTGATTGGCGATTGGTGGCCTGCGGGTAAATGAGCGTCGCGCGATTGGTTACCGTCGGCCGGCGTTTGCAGCGGCGCTGCGCCGAGTACCTGCCGCCGTCCGAGTCCTTGGACCGCCACCGGCTCTACGGCGACTTCCAGGTCACGCTCATGGCTAAGGTCAAGAAGGACAAGTACGTGGTGTCCACGGTACAGCTGAAGGTGAGCAGGCGGTGCGTACACAGTCTACAGCCTACACAGTCTACGAGCATGCGCTTGTAGACTGTGTAGGCGAAGCTGTGCTGTGTACACATGAAAGAACCTGTCAGAACAGACAAGGTCGTAATCGTAATGGCACTCTCAGTCGATACGGAAGAACCTGTCAGAACAGACAGGGTTAGAATCGTATTGGCAATGTCAGTCGGTACGGAAGAACCTGTGAGAACAGACAAGGTCAGAATCGTAATGGCAATGTCAGTCGGTACAATAATAGCTGCAATGAATACGTCGCTTTCGTTTCTAGCCAATCTCGGCAATTTGCCTAATTTATTGCGTATCATGGACGATGCACCACAAGCGCAATCGCAGAATGGAGAACTTCTTGCACTTTTTTCAGGGCATGCACTGAGAACTCACATCTCAGGGGCATTGCTATACGCAATGTGATTTAAGAGCCGATGATGAGGGCGTGAGTCTGAATTTATGTGCCATCTATGGTACCAGCAATCCAGCTTTTCAAAAATATATCGACATACGGCGTGAAGCCGTACTTCTCGCCTTTGACACGTGTACGCAACTGTGAGAACCGAACCCAGCTGAGTACGCAACTGTGGAGACGGAACCCAGCTGAGTACGCAACTGTGAGAACGGAACACAGCTGAGTACGCAACTGTGAGAACGGAACCCAGCTGAGTACGCAACTGTGAAAACCGAACCCAGCTGAGTACACAACTGTGGAAACGGAACGCAGCTGAGTACGCAACTATGGAAACAGAACTCAGCTGAGTACGCAACTGTGAGAACGCAACCCGACTGAGGACGCAGCTGCGCCGCCCGACGTGCCCGCGCTAGCCCGCTGTTCCCCACCTTCCGCAGAACATGGACAGTAACTTGTTCCGGGAGGTGACGCATCTCTGGTACTCGGGCTGGCCCGAGCGAGGGGTGCCCTCCGACCTCGACTCGATGGTGCAGTTTATCCAGGAGGCGCGCCGCGCAATGAAGACCAACATCGGCCCCACTGTGGTCCACTGCAGGTCGGTGGGGTGGGGGGGGAGGGGGAGGGGGGGGGGGAGAGGTAGAAGCACGCGGGCAGAGTCACCGGCCGCTACCAGAGTCAGAATGTCTGTGTTGTGGTGGCCACCGTCTGTGCTTGGATCTCATTCAGTTGAGTGACTGGAACCTAGATGGTGGGAGGGCTGTCCTCGGTGTTAGGTTTGTCGCCGTGACTGTTACCAGCATGTCATGTTATGACGTCATGCTCGATGTGTCTTCTGCTCGAGTGCTGTAGTGTGACTGATCACGAATTGTTCGTCCTTGACGTGCTTCCAATACCCGGCCCGAGACTACCGCCATCTCCGCCGGCCTAATACGTCACCATTGTTCTACGACCTAACCGGTACCGCCCAGCCCGGAGCGGCCGGAAGTGTGTGCTGCCGCCTGTCCCCGTGTCGTGACCTGTGACCTGACCTGACCCCGGTCTCCGCAGCCCGGGCACCGGCCGGACTGGCGTCATGCTGGCCTGCGACATCTGCGTGCGCCAGTTCGAGACGTCCCGCTCGGCCGACATCATGCGCGCCGTGTTCCGACTGCGCCAGGATCGCGCCGGCGCCGTTCAAACGCGCGAGCAGTACGCGCTCATTTATAAGGTACGAGGTCATATAAGGTCATCATATATAAGAGTGGCGTCCGAGCTCGCAGCACTGCGCTGCCCAATGCATGGGGCGTCCGTGCACGAATTCGAGCTGGTCCACCAATCGAATGTTTCATCACGGGCAAGCGGGCGAATACTGGACCTGTCCTCGGATAACGAACCACTCGACGAACGGGGATATGTGGAGGGACTTGCTTCTGCGGATTTTTATGCTGGCAACAAATGAATGCTGATGCGTATTAAATCTTTGCTGTGCAGTTTTAGCCGGGTTTTGTTTGACGTGATGTCAGGTTTTCACCACCTGCACGGTCTTAGCATACCGGCGGAATGTGCCGTATCATGCATCGGTCAAACAGGTTGATTCCGCTCAACCGACGCCGGCCGCGTCGTGTGAACAGGTATTGGGGTCGGTTCAGTTACGTGTTTGCGCTGTTCCGTGATAATCTTTGAATTGTGAGCATTGTCACATTCGCCAATACCCCATGTGATGTTGACATCGCTTAATTTCACTACACTTTTTAAACAAGCAAGCCACAGGCCGTACACGTTCAGTAAGACTCCTTTCAGCTCTGCGTTGTGTTACTGCGGTGTCTTTACTGTTTACTGCGGTATTCATCTGTCTACCGCGACATTCCACACGCACAGGGCTGCCGGGGAGTCGTGTGGAGTCCGCGGGCGCGAGCGGCGCGGACCGCTGACCTCACCGCTCGCCGTGTGCCGCAGGTTCTGAACCAGTACGCTGCGAGCGTCACCAGCGGCAACCTGCCGGCTCTGGAATGAAGACGAGCGCTAGCGAGCGGACCTTGTCGGCGAGGCGCGTTGTGATGTAGTTCGTTCTGCGGGCTACCAGGAGGCGCCGCGGTCGCCTGCGAGTGGGCGGCCCGGGTCGCCTTCGGTGCGGCTTCTGACGTCTCGAGACCGCGCGAGACGGCCGGAGGGGACGGCGGCAGCGTCTGTCTCGGAGACCCCGGGTGCGGATGCCGCCAGTGGTGACAGGAACGAACGGATGCCAGGAGAGCGCACGTGGACTGCACTGGCAGACCCTCTCCCAGTGATCAGGACGGGACCAAGGCGCGCCGGGCGATCAGCAGCTGTTTTACCTCCGATTCTCGCTCATGGATCGGCGTGATAGATGGCGCCACCTATACCGCCAGCGACAAGGCACGTGGCGCTATCTGCAGTCTGCCGGTGGCGCCCGTCTTCGGGAGGTGCATCAGCCAGACCGTGCCTAGTTAGACTTATCGTTGTCAGATGTTGACAGCCACACGCCGCTGTGATAACTGGCTACTTATGGGGTGCTGGCATTGCCAGGCGGTATCTAATACATTTCTACGTCATATGAGTGTGTGACGTCACTTCGCGACCGCGTATTTGCCGTGCCGCTTCGTCGCCGCAGTTCCGTCGGAAAACACCGAGGCATCGATATAAAAAATATCTTCGGGAAAACGCTAACAACTTAGCTCACTGCACGTGTTGGAAACTGAAAGGAAACACAGCTCATTGATCCCGCGGCCAGCGCGGCAGTCTCGCGTTTGCCGCCGGGCTCCTCCACCAGAACCATCCAACCGCCGCGTCGCGCGCGGGCTGCCGCCGCCACACCAGAGGCCCGCCGATTCTATGTACACGCGGCGGCCGCTGCGACGGGAGGGGTTGTCTCGGGGTCCGATGCGGTCAAGCGGGTGACAACTGCCGGCGTGTGCCACGACACGCCTGGCCCAGCTGCTCCGCCGGAGAGCCCGGCCAGCGAGCGCGGCGACGGTGCGTCTTCGCTCGCCCACCACCTCGCCCTCAGCACGGGGCACCGTCGGCGCGCCGTCTCTGCCGCGCTGTTCTCGCTGTCCAGGAGCGGCCCAGGAGACGTGTCTTGTGACGTAGCCGCGTCCCGGTCGACAGCCGCGTCCCGGTCGACAGCCGCGTCCCGGTCGACAGCCGCGTCCCGGTCGACAGCCGTGTCCCGATTCACAGTCGTGTCCCGGTCGACAGCCGTGTCCCGGTCGACAGCTGTGTCCCGGTCGACAGCCGCGTCCCGGTTCACAGCCGTGTCCCGGTCGACAGCCGCGTCCCGGTCGACAGCCGCGTCCCGGTTCACAGCCGCGTCCCGGTCCACAGAAGCGTCCCAGTCCACAGCCGTGTCCCGGTAGACAGCCGTGTCCCGGTCGACAGCCGTGTCCCGGTCCACAGCCGCGTCCCGGTTCACAGCCGCGTCCCGATCCACAGAAGCGTCCCAGTCCACAGCCGTGTCGCGGTCGACAGCCGCGTCCCGGTCCACAGAAGCGTCCCGGTTCACAGCCGCGTCCCGGTCCACAGAAGCGCCCCAGTCCACAGCCATGCCCCAGTCCACAGCCGTGTCCCGGTCCACAGCCGCGTCCCGGTCCACAGCCGTGTCCCGGTCCACAGCCGTGTCCCGGTCCACAGAAGCGTCCCGGTTCACAGCCGCGTCCCGGTCCACAGCCGTGTCCCGGTCCACAGCCGTGTCCCGGTCCACAGCCGCGTCCCGGTCCACAGAAGCGTCCCGGTTCACAGCCGCGTCCCGGTCCACAGAAGCGCCCCAGTCCACAGCCATGCCCCAGTCCACAGCCGTGTCCCGGTCCACAGCCGCGTCCCGGTCCACAGCCGTGTCCCGGTCCACATCCGTGTCCCGGTTCACAGCCGCGTCCCGGTCCACAGCCGTGTCCCGGTCCGCCCGTCCACAACCACTCACTCGGCGGATTCTGCCGTTTCGTTTTCGCTCTGCCCCCTCCGCTTGTTGCCCTGCGGGGGAGGACAGGGATGACCACACAGCCAGCGGCAGCGTGCGTCAGTCGGCCGCCACCGCCGCTCACAAAGGCCCGCCACGTGGCGATCAATACACCCGAGACTTTGACTGCAGTGCTTCCACGTTCATTTCGCGGCATTCGAGCGGTAACGGGTTGTGATATCCACAGACGCATCAGAGCGCTCACGCACAATGCGCCCCAACGTGATGTAAATACACTGTGTGCACTGCAAGGAGCTTAGGCCGAGCAGGGGATCTTCCTACACCTATCCCAAAATACACCAAAAAATGCGGGGTTTTCTCCAAATTTAGTACTACTCAAGTTAGGGTACAGATCGGAGCCCGAAGCTGAAGAGAAAACTGCACCTCCACCATAGAGGTGCAGTTTATCCAGAAGTTTGGGTATTGTTTGGCCTGGACCCGTCACAGCTGGGTGGTGAGCTGGTCCTCTGTGTGCCTCCCTCTGACCTGGACCCGCCGCAGCTGGGTGGTGAGCTGGTGCTCTGTGTGCCTCCCTCTGACCTGGACCCGCCGCAGCTGGGTGGTGAGCTGGTGCTCTGTGTGCCTCCCTCTGACCTGGACCCGCCGCAGCTGGGTGGTGAGCTGGTGCTCTGTGTGCCTCCCACTAACCTGGACCCGCCGCAGCTGGGTGGTCAGCTGGTGCTCTGTGTGCCTCTCTCTGACCTGGACCCGCCGCAGCTGGGTGGTCAGCTGGTGCTCTGTGTGCCCCCCTCTGACCTGGACCCGCCGCAGCTGGGTGGTGAGCTGGTGCACGCGGCTGCGCTCCTGCTCCAGCTGGGCCAAGAGGCCGGTAACCTGGGCCGACATGTCGGCCCGCTCCCGCTCCGCCGCCTCGCACGCCGCCTGGGCCTTCTCCAGGCCCACGATCAGCTGAACTTTCTCCTTGGCTGCCGGCAGAGGGCAGAGGTCAGCGACACGCGACCGGAGGGGCCGACTATCTGGACTGTTGGCTGATCGACTGATTGTTGATTGGCTATCTTTCATTGATTGTTCGATTGGCTGTCTACTGATTGCGGCGGGCGCCGTTGCTACGGAGGCGTGCGGCGCCCGATGTGGTAGTCAACATGCGATTGATGGTGTACTATGGCGCGCGCCGCTGCGTGGCGGTCTGAGATGATGATGACGACGCCATTTCTGTGATGTGGTGACGTGAGGGCACTGTGGATGGATGACGGACGCCGTGGTGCTCAGGACGGCGATGCTGTTGTCGATTACGACGACTTGGTGGTGACGCAAAGCGATGATCCAACCCACGAGTGATATCACGTGCAAGAGCATAACTTTTCAAAAAAGCAACACACAAACACTCCCAGTGATATAAACGGTCATACTCGTGAACACAGCCCACACGGAGGTCTGTCGTCGCAAGCCTGCCGTCTCCAGTCCGCTTCTTCTGTCTCCAGCTGACAGTAGGCTTACAGTCTCACATATCATGTCCCTACTCCCCAATCTCCAGACTCCAGCCTCCAGTAAGCAGACCCCAAACCCTAGTCTCCAATCTCCGGTCTCGTTCCCAGTCCCCAAGCTCCAGTCCCCAGTCACAGGTCCTCAGTCTGCAGTCTCCAGCCTCCAATCCTTAATCTCCAGTCTCCAGTCTCCAGTCTGCTGTCTGCAGTCTGCAGCCTCCAGTTTCCAGTCTCCTGTCCTCAGCCCCCAGTCGAACCGCCGTGACTCACTCTCCGACTGCGTCAGCACGCCCAGCACGCGCTTGGTGCGCGCCTTGGCCAGCTTCAGCTCGTCGCGCGTGCGCTCCAGCTCCAGCGCCAGCTCCTCCACCTCGGACTCCTTGGCGGCCAGCCGCAGCTGCAGCTCCGACGGCAGCTCGGCCGACGCCGGCGGCGGCGGCGGCGGCGGCTGCGGCACACACCGCGCCAGCGGCCGGTTGGCGCGGGCTGGACTGGTCTACACTTCGCGGGGCGCACCGCACTGTCCTCAGCTGGTTAACATAGCACGAAACAGGAGGTGACTGCTACCGAACGAACAATAGTATGTCAAATCTACGTTAGTGGTTCCGGCCAGCGTATATACCGACATAGCTAAGGCAGCCACAGACAGCTACAGAAAGCAAGCAGGTACATTGACCACGCTGCTTCAAATGTAGACACTGTGTGTACCCGCCAGTTCACAGGGCCCCGACTCTCCCCAGGTCGTGTGGTCCACACTCACCAAGCCATAAGGTCCCAACACCCACTGAGCCATAGGACCCCCCCCCCCCCCTCACCGGGTTCATAAAGTCCTCACCGCCTCCCGGCCAAGCAGCCCGCCCGCCCTCACCAGGTCTTGCCGGATGCTCTCCAGCGCCCTCTCGCGGTGCAGCGCATCGCGCGTCTTGCGCTCCACCTGGTCGAAGAAGTCGCCGCCGTCGCCGCCGGCGGCGCCGGCCGGGCCGGGCGCCGGCGGCCGGCCGGGCGCCGGCGCCATCAAGTGCCGATAGTCGCGCTGGTCAATCTGTGGAGCGCGGCGGGGGCGGGCGGGGGGGGGGGGGGAGGGGTGAGATACGCACAGCTCGCCCGCGGGCAGGGCGGCGGACGTCACGGACGCGTGGCGTCAGGCTTCACGCCACTGGGGTGCGCGGTTTTGACCTTGGATCTTGCGCGTTTGGTGCAGGTGTTTGTAAGTGACACGGGAACAGAACGACGGTCTGATAGGATAGCTTTAGGTCGTCCTCCGAACTTGACCTGATACAACCTCAGAATTAATGGGACCGCGACGGCGCGCCGGGACAACCAATCTACAGAACGAAATCTGCAAAATCAGCCGCGAAATCGACCCCGAGGTACAGCGCAAAAGGATGGCGTCGGACTGGCGGGAGCGCTCGCGTACGCCTGGCAGACGGAGCCGAGATTCTAAACCATCGAGCGCATAGCTGTGCAGAGAAATATAGCTCGTGCCTGGTGACTTATGCTTTCGCGGCAACACAAACATTCGCAGATATGAGCTGGGGACTTGACACAACAAATACTATGACTCTGATACTCGTCAGTCACAAGCAACCTGCAAGGGCAGCTTCAGCAGCCTGTGGGAAGAAAGGCATCATCTGCCCTAAATTCGCACCTCCTGGGTTTATGATACCAGTCCGAAACAAACTCAGAGCCATGATGTAGGGTTGAGATCACCTGGCGGGAGACCTTCGAACCCTACGACACATCAGCCTCGATGAGCGTCCGACCAGCGCCCGTTCCAACCTGGCGAAGTGCCACCCGCCCGGTCATCAGGGGCGCCGCTGCTGCTGCTCGCAGCCGCCGGGCGGCACTGCAACACCCTCTCGCAGCCCGCACGCTCGTCCTCTCTCACACCACGTCCGGCCGCGGCGCACCCGAGCACGCCCCCCTCTCCCCCTCTACCGGGGTCGCCGCGGTCACCTGCGACGTCGAGAGAGTCTGCAGCTGGTCTACGCTGAGGATGTTTGGCTTGACCTTCTTCGCCTTCTGTTTGGGCGCCTCGGGCCCGTCGCCGTTGGCGGCCAGCAGGTTCGCCCGCTCGAAGTCCACCTTGGACATCATCATCGCCTGCTGCAGGTCCTTCTCGAACGTGTCGTCGACCAGCTGAGGACACGGAAGGCACGCCGGCCTGATGACTCGAACGCGCGACGCCAAGAGCACGCCGCAGCCACCAGCGGCGCCCAACTTCTCTGCCAGGTGCTGCTCTGACCACTTATCTCTATCTCACATGCGTGCCGCTTGACGGAAGAGAATGGTATTCGAACTGGGGCTCGAACTGAACGGACTGGCGTTTTCGCCCAGACCCCACTGCTAGAGATGTTTCAAACGTGCAACCACGCCGCGCGCTCGGCCACATGCCATGTCACACAATACACAAGACGCCGCATGACACGCCATGACACATTATGACACGACGCGACACCACACGGAGCACCCAGGCCTGCTGGATGGTTTGGTGGTGGCCATTCTCATGTGGCAGGCTATGCAGCATTCCAAAACTGATCCAGCATTATCAATATATATATATATATATATATATATATATATATATATATATATATATATATGTATGTATATTCATGCTACCAGAATGCTGGTTCTCTGGCAGCCCGCGCGCGAAATCCGCGGGCGCTAATCCGTTGCCCTTGGACCCCAAACCCAGACATCCGACATGCCCAGCCCATTGGTCAAGCCTGAGGCACTTAGATGCTGAGTTGGCTGCTGCCCAGTTTGGTGCTAATTGGTCGATTTTGGGCCAGGGGAGGGGCAGCAAGCAGGGAAGTCCAAAGCCAGGGGTGTAAAAGCGTGAACAATATTGTATCCCTGCCACCCAAATAACTGAATTTTAAAACAAGAGGCATGCCAACTCTTCTGAAAATATTTCTTTGACAGACATGACTCACAATGCAGGAAAAGGCTGCTTATCATGCAAAGTGAATGTTGTGTTGGGAAATATTGGCAAAGGGATACCAGCAACAACATACATAGGTGGCACCTTCACATTATCCATAACATTTCAGTGCTTAATATCCAAATGTTGCACCTGTCTTAGCTTTCTGCATGATAAAAGAGCACACAAATCAGCAACATATACAAGTAACCTAGTTTCTCCCCCTTTCACATAAAAATATAAATCCCACCAGGTAAAACATCACCAATTTCAAACCTCAATCCAGTTTCTCATGTCTGGGAAATGGGTTTGAGCAAGTCAACTGATAGGCCTCAGGCTACAGCACTGACCACTTGGTCCCTTTTCTCCCATTCCTGCCAGTCAGCCTCTGCTGCCTTCTTTGGTGAATCTACTGCTGGCTTCTTCTGCTTGGACTGCTGCTTTGGCTTTGGCAAACCAAATGCCATTGATTGCAGCTGCATGTGAAAACAAACCATAGCTGTCAGTACATACATCTAAAATAAATAGCATGCATGATTCAAGAGCCACAGCTAATAACAGACCCATATGGACACAGGCAGACATTAATAACATAACTTTACAAACACAGCCAAACCATAAAGGTTTTACTGTAAGAATAACACAGCCATCTTCTAACATAAATGCTGCCAGAAAACCATGATGTGACAAATATGTATGAGATAAAAACAGTCAAAGACTTGTCAGAAAAGACAATTACTGCATGATAGCAACAAGGCCACAATTTGAGGCTCATTAAAGGTTCTGAAAGCAAATCAAATAGGTTCTGAAGAAATGGACTAAATAAAATGGACTTGACATTATCCCATTCTCTAAGTTTGAACCACTAAGTAGCCTTCCGTGCATGCAGCACAACCTGGCCTTGATCCAGACATTTATCCTTTATTGGTTAGCTGGGGTTAACACCTGTGAGTAGTCAGTAGTTGAATATACATCATAAACACATTAGGTATCAATATATTTGTTTCTAGAGCCTGTGTCAAGATTCATGAATATCTATATAGTTGTATGTTAAGAGGCATGCAGGATTAGCTTTTGGTTTAGAAATGGAATATCATGGCTTCAAAATGCAGGAGTTTGGATTGGTGCCCATTAGCAATCAAAGGTTTTGCTAGCAAGATCTATGTAACTGGTCTGTATCATGTGACCTATGCCAACCTTTCAGTCTGTTCTCAGTACAATGCTTTCATATGAAACAGAAAATCAGTGCTTGATTACATGACCTCAACTGTTACTGCAATGGTATCTATTCTCTCAATGTGGATTCCCAGTTGAACATTATGTTTGCACTAGTCTCTGGTTCTGAAGCCAAAATTGCTATCTTGCCTGGTCATGATACAGCTTATATTGGAAGAAAAAGCCTAAAGTAATGTCTGAAGAGCAAGGTCTGCATACCTCAGCATCAAGGGCTGGCTCTGTCTTCTTCTTCTTTTTCTTGGTGAGCTTTTTCTTACCCTTTTCTTCATCAGAAGCCTTTTTCCTTGCTGCTTTCTCCCGCTCTTGATCAGAATCATCCTCAATTTTTAATACTGAGAACCTGGATGCCATAACTGATGCCATCTTGCCTTTCCTGGCAGGTAAAAAAGTTAGGCAACCAAACCATCAGTACTCTGAAATACCTATATGTTGCACTTAATTACAGGACGAGCCTCCCCCTCCCCCCCATCCCAGCCCTTTGCATTGGCATGGGAAGTAAAACGAATGTTTTGTTGAATTTACTAATTGATAAAACATGGAATGACAACATTGCATTAAAACAACAGCCTGCAGTCAGCACAGAAAAAATGTTGCGAACAGATTGGTAGCTGCTTCACTTAGTTTGACATTTCCATTGTGTTTCGTTCAATCCTTGTATCCGCGACATACAACGGGAGCGAAAATGACGGTAAGCCACGGGAACACTATAATGCAGTTAACCATACTCGCGTAGCTTTCAAATCTTTCTTGTCTACAATGCAGCCCGAAAACCTTGCAGTATTTGCAACTTTCTTTATAACTTGAGGCGAACCGCCACCCGCGCAGCGCACAGCGCAAAACACACCGCGACTCAGCTGTCGTCAAGGTGAAACAAATGGCGAGGTAATAAAACAGTATGAGACGGTACCATCGAATGACGTCAGATATCGGAAGTACGTCAAAAGCGGACATCCATGAATAACGTTACGCTAATGTTTTTTTTTGTTGCATTTCCCCAAGTTCCTGGTAACGGAATAGTAACATTGGCAATTTTCTCCCCTTGGCCACGCTACGTCAAGCGTAACAGACCAAAAAGGTGAGGTTGGCTGTTTGACAAGACGTGCACACATACGGGCGTGCTAAGCAGCACGTCACGAGATAAGCCAAAGGTATCCAGCTTCAGAGTTTTCGACAAACTCGATTAGCAGCCCCATCTCAATGCAACGTTACTCTATCCAACATCCCTCACCCTGGTTACGCTTTGGTTGTGCACTTCCCCCCCCCCCCCCCCATCTCTGTCTCACCCGCAACAAAATGCATGGACGGACACAAACTCCTTTTCCATCGCCTCTTTCACTAGTGCTGTACCATGAAAGCAGGACATTTATGTTTTGTATACAACATGACTGATGAAGGATTTTATACGTTCTTCAGCTCACGAATAGGTAAACAAATTTGCAGAACGCACTTGCTCGTTCTGCGTGACAATAGAGCACATCCGTTCCGACAATCTGCCGTAGTTGGTTCCGGCGGACAGAAGCAACGGAACTGTCAGTGGTAGACCAGGAAGCCATAGAGCAAATCACACATCTCATTGCACCTCGCAGGTCTTCGAAAACATCATCGCTAATACTCGATGACACCAAAAGACGCTCGCAACTAGCAGTTACGTTCGCAAGCAAATGCGCTAGTACAATTCCACGCACCGGCAGTGACGAACCACTAATGAACCTTAAGCTGATCGCAGCATTAGAGCCCATTGTGAGTCAATTGCTGCCAAATCATCCCTAAATCGCGTCATCACGTGGCGCGCTCCGTCAAGCTCAGATTTTCACTTAGAAGATTTCGCTGCCGTCGTTAGCATTTACTGTGCATTATCTAGACTGGTCGGTGCACCCCAAGCCAACAGGCAGCGATGACGGCCGGACATTTCTGGCACCGAAGACAGCGTCTAACACCACGCAACGCATCAGTGTCTAGCTGGAGAGCCCGCTGGGATCATGCGCACCACAATTTCATAAATGCGACAGCAGGCGTATGACACACATCAGATAGGGCACATTCCTGGGCAACAGCTGGATTCTGAACGCCCTGCGCTCAGGCGAGGCATCGTCGCACGTATCAGACGTCATAGAAGAACGCGTACTTCTCCACGGGCAACCGCCGATAGCCGCGCGCCGTGAGCAGTTTGTTGAGCTCCAGAATGCGCCACCACACGGCCTCCATCATCGGGCGGGTGTACACCTTGTCGTCCGGCACGATTGGATGGTCCCGGTTGTGGAAGCCACCCTCCACGTGCTTCAGCACGCAGCGAAGCCGCTCCAACGACGGGGTCACACCGAGAAAGCGCAGCATCCGGTCCAGCTCGTGCGCCGGGTTGGCCTCCAGCCTCTCGTAAGCCACGAGCAACGTGTCGCGAGGCCCTGTGGCCCAGTCTTCCGCCAGCTCGAACCAGAACTGGCTGTAGCGCTCCACAAAGCGGGTCCAGTTTCCGCCCGCGAAGGCAGCGTCGGTCGCGCGGCTGCGAGCGACCAGCCCGCTCGAGCGCTCGTGGTAGTGGCGCAGGGAGATAAGCGCCCGGAACGGGTCGCGCACGAGCAGCACGGCCGGCAGCGGGTAGCGCTCGCCGCCGTCGTCGGCCGCGGTCGAGCCGTCGCTGCGCCAGTGAGGCGCGAAGGCGTGCGTCTTGCCCACGAGGCAGGCGCGACTCATCGGCGATAGCGCCTCTCCAGCGAAGCCGGAGTCACGCAGCTCGGGGGAGGCGCCCGCAGCGCCACTCGAGTTGGCCAGCTGACTGCGCAGCTCGACGATGGATGACAGGCGGCCGGTCGGTGGGCTGTTGAGCATCTCGCCCTCCCACGTCGCGCCGCACGTGAAGAACCCGGTCGCAGCCTCCAGCAAGTAGCGACTCCACGTGTTTCCGGAGCGGAAGAAGGACGCCAGCCGCGCGGCCGGTAGACTACCGGAGCGGGCGAAGTGCGTCGTGAACCGTGCGCACGAGGCGTCGTTGGAGAACCACGACCGGCTTGGAAGAGCTGGCTCCACCAGTTTCCGGAGAGGTAGCACCAGCTTACCGTGAATATCGTTCGCGTTGTCTTCTACGGCGGCTGACTGCAGCCGGGACGCTGGCCGACCGGAGGTCAGAAACAGGACGCTGCCTTTATCTGATAAGCTGGCGACCAAGCCGAGCAGAAAGAGTGCGGTGGTAACGCAGACGACGAGGACGCCGCAGCCGTGGTTCGCCAGCTGCCAGCGGCGGGCGCGGCGGAACGTGTCCCACCGCTGCCAGTGAGCCATTCCGCCGACCGACCAGTTCATCTGGAACACGCGGAAAGGCAATGGACTGTCAGCCAACTGCTTCGAAAGCGTCACGAGCCAGCAGGTGACGCTGCAGTTTTTGAAATTATGTCGGGGTCAGGCGGACGCTTATGAAGCAAGGATTACATAGTGGTATTTGTCCCATAACCACGCCCACGAAATGTTTCAACTGTTGCAAATGTTGCATCTGTGCACCAAAGGTTCATTTTATCAACATCCGCAATGTTTTCGTTTGTGTGCTAGGCATTTGGGAGCGCATATTGGGAGCAGAGAAAGTGACTTAACTGCTAAAATCACTTTGACCGGCATGCTTCCCTGCTTCCTTTGGAATTTGTCGTCTTGCAAACTTTTCACCACTTCCACATCAGCTCGTCAGAAGAGTTTTACATAGCTTCAGAGAAGAGCTTCACTGACGAAACCCTTCTGACAAATAAGGAATTCGTGTGGTACGTCGTAAATGTACATTAAGATTCGCACCGCTAGCCCTCGCGTTTCAGGCTGCAGAGCATGACATACGCTGAAATGAGCTTGAAAAACCTCGCTAGTGAGTTTTTTCAAGCCATTCGTTGTGACGTGTGCTGTGGGCACTGGTCATTTGACAAGTTTGACGCGAGCATGGCGCTTTTGAACGTCCACCCGGTTCTGGCACGATATGAAAGCCTGGATTAGACCTTTTACGGCTATCATTTTTCAAAAAGGACCCTAAGTTGGTGCCAAATCCGAAATGTACTCATGTGAGAGCAAAGAAGAGGGAGCCAAGAGCTAGAGAATGGTCACATAAGAAAATGAGGGCAAAGTGAGGGAAATGAGAGCCCATCGTTTGTCACTGGAACATCCTGATAGCCAATAAATTTTACCACGGGAACAATGTCGTTTTGTCATGCCGCAGCCATTTTCTTGGCGTTCGCGAGTTATGTCCCATCGGATAAAATCATTAAGTAGCACACACGTGAAATGATGATTCAGTGCATGATGAGCCAAAACGTTCCGGCAAAAAGGGACGCCACTCTTCATAGATCTGAGAACAATCAATGGGTTTCGTCCAAGTTAATCTTAGTTTTCATGCATTTGAGAGTTGGCACCAACTTCGGACCCTGGCCTAATCGTGAACAAAACTATTATGAAGTAAACTTCATACCTTGCCCGCAGACGAGCTTGTCAAGCAGGCCAGTTACTCAAAGGTGTCTTCAAACGCATGCGTCCAAAAACACGATAAGGATATCTCGCGCGCATAACTCGCAGGAAATTCAACGAATAAACAGTTACTGCATGTTTGCTGTCACCAGTGACAGCAAAAATGAAGCTACCCGCACAATTTCCTCTCACCACAAACGTGGCATCTGCTCACCTGTTGGCGGCGGGCGGCGGGAGCCGGGCGTGCTCGTCCGCGTCCGAGTCAGCCGCGCTGCGCAGCTCCCCGGCAGCCGCCGGTGCGTCCGCGGTCCCACCCGGCCGAGTCTCCGCCGCCGGTCGCAGCGGAGGTGAACGGCCGCGGCTCGCCCGACCCCCGGGCCAGCCTCGCCGCCGCCTCGCTGCGGCCCGACCGCACGGGCCGGCAGGCTCAGGGACGGGAGGACGGCCCGGCCGACCGCTCGCCGAAGGGCGGGCTGGGGTGGCGTCCGGGACTCGGGCGCCACGTGGAGAGGACCAACAGTGGTCAAGGGTCACATCAAGTGCCCTTGACCGCGTGAGTACACATGAGGCGAGTCAAACAGTGTGCCACCAACGACCCAAAGACCACGAAGAGGCTACCCCCAGCAGTTTACATGATACAAGGCATCCGTCGTCTGCACGCAGGTTACCAGCAGTGACTGCAATGTCACACAGGGTGCATTCTCAGCGACAAAAATACCACCCTGCGTGCATCACCACTGGTGTAAGCGCCGCACGGGGCGTCCCACCAGTGACTTTACGGTCATAGCGATTTCACCGCAGGTGATTACACACAGTACAAACGCAGCGGCCCACGAATCGTTCCCTCTCACCACACGCTACGTACCGGTGACTCATGGGCCATACAGCGGGCGCCACCAGAGCCTTGTTCCCCATTGACTGGAAAAACTTTGAGACGAGTGCTCGTGGGAAAGGACAAATCTCATCCGTGACATGTCATTGCAGGTCAAAAGTAATGTGACAGTCATAGGGTCAGATCTGGTCACGGTGGTCAATAAAAAGATCATGAACCACTAGGGTCTACAATCTAAAATTTTCACAGGCGTAAACATGTCGTCAGGTGAGCTGCTGAGACCGTCAACACCGTGCCCAAAGCTGTTAAGGATTTGTTTTTTGAAAAAAACTCGGCGGATTTTAGGCTGCCTTGCAGGGCGGGGCTTAATTTGAACATTTGGCGATGCGTTTCATCTTCGAAAGCCAGAGCCCGCGAAACGAATGTCCACCCGAACTTCACTGTGCCTCCACAACCTCCTACATGTAGATGGGCTCAAAACCTCCTACATGTAGATGGATTCAAAACCTCCTACATGTAGATGGGCTCCCCAGGTTGGCCCACTCACGCGCCTCGACGGAGCGCATATGCCGCGAGCTTTAATGCGAGTACAGAGGATTGAAATCGTTACACGTGCGCACGCGTTCCTTGCTCTGCAGGGTCGTCACGAACGAGCAGGTTGGGTGACGAGCGGGCGGGGCCAACTTGGCTCAAATTATATGCACACCGTCATATATTAACGGAAGAAGCATTCCATACACCACCCACCAAAATCCCCCAAAGCTGCAGCGGAGATACTGGTTTTCACTTTATGCAAGCTCTGCAATGACTTGACGATTTTTGGTACAGCTTACCCTGTCACTTCTCCGTGAAACCAACCACCAGTGCCAGTAGAACCAGTAAAAAAAAACTTGTGGCCAGCAAGCTGCCAGTAGAGCATGTGACCATAATGGAAGGGCGGCTGTACAACCCGGGCCAAGACACTCATCCTCGTTCACCAGACATGCACGAAAGACCAGAGCTCAACTCGCAACGACGCTTGAGGCCAGTATAGGTCACCTATACGGAGACATTCGGCAACGACTGAGTGGGAGAGGCGGTCGACCCGCCTAGACGCGACTGAACACACCCGTTTCAGGCAGCCGCAGGGCCAGTACCGTGCTCAGACTGGCCTGTGATGCGTCCGGGTCAGGTCTCGGCAGACTGCGAGGCGTCCGGGTCATGTCTCGGCAGACTGTGAGGCGTCCGGGTCATGTCTCGGCAGACTGTGAGGCGTCCGGGTCAGGTCTCGGCAGACTGTGAGGCGTCCGGGTCAGGTCTCGGTATCCTCCTGCGCCGTCACAGCTCGTCAAGGCGGATTGAGGTCGGAATTAGATGAGTTCGGGTGTCTTACGCGCCAGGTGCAGGTGAAGAGTAACAACGTGATTGAATGATTGTGATTGTGGTGGTGATTCGCGCGGTGCATTAACCGGTTCAACGAGTTCTGCGGTAAATGACTTGTTCCAAACAACGACACATTTCAGACATGTATATTTCAAAATACTTAGCTGTTTTAGGCGGCTTGGTGAAGGTGCGTCATTCTGAGAGCACAGCCGTTATTCGTGAGCACATGACGCGCGTACCAGGACGCTTGCTACGGCCAGTTGATTAAATAAAAAATGCGTATGATGTTTGGACATGGGCACATGGAGAGAGAGCACCGCAGCTAACAGGACGATTGAAAACCAAACCCCAAACCTTCCACCATTTCTCTGACGAAATTACACAATGCTCAGCATTTTGCATAAAGATACCAACAATGGCATTCCAAACGGCATGCCGCAAGCCACGAAGCGACGAATTACCAGTGCCGGCAGCAAAACGTCCGCACCACCTGTCGAACTCCGCCCGCGTCACGTGCCCCGACTGAGTTCACACCGAGGGCACCGCTCCGATACAAAAACGGTGCATACGCATTCCACGTCTACAAGTCCAGTATCGCTCAGCACCGAGCTGGCGACGTCAGGTGGTCACCTCGCCGTCCTGCACGTCCATCGGGTTCTGCACGTCGCCGGCGCCTCCCTCCACCGCCGCATTCTTGCCGGGCTTCAGTCCCTTCAGCTTCCTGGTGGTCAGCTTGCGCAGGTCCTGCCGCTCCATGTGGATGCGTCCCATCTGCGCACCCAGCTTGCCGTCCGACACGTTCTTCACCTTCTTCGCCTTCAGCTGCTTGGGCTGCTTGAGCGCGCGCCGGAAGAGGTCGTCGGAGGCGAGTCGGCTGCGGCGCACCACCAGGTCCAGCGACGGCCCGATCTCCTCGAGCTCCACGCGGGGCGCGCGGCCGCCCGAGCGCTGCGTCACCACGCGGTAGCTGCGCATATGCAGGCCGGCCTCGGTGGCCGTGAAGGCCAGGGCGTGCTCGAAGCCGCCGAGCCGCACGGCCGTCGCGTGCTCGCCGCGAAATAGGTCGATCAGCAGGCTCTTGAGCCGCACGTACGTGTCGTCGCTGGAGAAGCGCTCGCCGGCGAACAGGAGGCACGGCTTGGTCCCGGCAGCCACTTTGGCGTTCTTGAAGTCGTGCAGCGACTTGGCGCTTTGCACGCCCAGCTCGACCATGTCGAGCAGGTGGTGGTCGAACATGCGACCCAGGATGAGGTTCTGCGGCCGCTTCTTGCTGTGGGAGCCGATGACGAAGAGGCCGGCATCCAGTTTCGCAGAGAGCTGCTCGACGGGCGTGATGTTTTCGAACGGCACCAGATCTCTTTTCCGGTTGAAGAAGATCGCGTGCGGCCGCTTTAAGGAGTTGATGTCCTTTAGGCATTCTTGCAGAACATTGTTCGTTTTGTGGCCCTTCAAGATGAGAACCTTCTTTTCATTTTCAATGAGCTTTGGTGCTCTATCTTCTATATGTCGCTTACCCTTACGAGTCTTCGTTTTCTGGATTCTGCCCGCAATACCCATGGTTCCTGGCAGCTGCAATGTGTCTGAAAGTGAAAACATGACATATTAGCATGATTGTGTTCTGATATGATGTCCGCACTCAGTTCTGTGATGCTTAGCTCAATGCTCACAAAGCATGGTGCTAACACATATTTATAATGCCTACTATACCAGCCTTATCAAGTAAGAAACTATCAAATAAAGATGTAAGTAAGCTGTTCGACCCATAGCTCACCCTCTTATAAGGCCTGGCTCCCAATCCACAGGTAGGGTGAGGGTATGAGTTACTGCTGGTGCTGACTGACTGATCCTAATTGGGAGGGCCAGCAGCCAGCAGGATGTCCTCTCAAAGTCAAGCCAGATACTGACAAAGGGCAGGGAGAAGCATCCCAGCACATCAAACATATGCCACAAGATTCTGCCTCACCACTGGAATTTCATGATCAAATGGTGTGGTCATGGGTTGCAGCTACCACCCAGTGTGATAGCTCTCAACTCTTGGAGCAACATTTTATCTAATCAGAACAATTCATGCAAAATTTGTTATAGGGCAACATACATACCTACCTGAAACACACATGAGTGCAAAATGAGCTTAAAGGGCTTCTTAATATCTATCTAATCTAACAGGGCCTATATCTTTTGCTGTATTAGAGCAGTGCCCTTGCTACACAGTGCATGCTGTATGAGCCCACCTTACAAAATTCCTGGCCAACTACATCACTTTATGATGAAAGCTAAACAGCAGCATCCTCAACATGGTCTGCCCTGCCCTCTGAAGTCATCTAACCTTAAGCACTGCTGCTGCCATTGCCACCCACCACAATCCATGCCAGACAGGCAAAACTGAGGGCCTACAGTGAACTAAATCCACCTTACCACAGGTAGGCAAATGGCAGGCAGGCACTAACTGAGTTAACACTTCGGTCATTAGGCATAGCACATACATGGCTGAAAGGCAAGCATCACCCAGTCCTTCTCAGGACTTAATAACATGACCGGAGACTAACTGGCTAAAACAGTGTATAAATGACACACCAGATGTGGACAGTAGTATGAACAATAACTTAATTGTGATCCCAATATCTCATCTCATTTGGTAAAACTTTGTATCCATCCCCAACTATCTATAAATGTAGGATCCCATATACAAATTTGAAAAGTAACTTAATCAAGATGATATTCACATTAGAGCAATGTATGTTTATCACAGCATATACATTCACCCACATCAATTAAATCCAAAATTACACCATCTCCTGTTTCTATTCAATATTTTGACTGTTACATAACATTGAGGACCTGGATGGAGACAAATAATTACCCTGCCCACCTCAGGATACTTCTAAACATCACATATCTGAAATTGGTTTACCAGACAACAGGATAATTTTTTGGTTATCATAACTATTTTTCATTCCAGGCTGGCATTGATAGGGTCTGTACTCTGCTGGTTAATGCAAGGCTACACAACCATGCTTTTACCTAATCTGATTACAATTTGGACACTTTCACCCCACTGACTAAACAAGGGAAAGTTTGACTCAGTTCTACTACAAGGAGGGGCTAGAATGACCAGGCTCATCAAACCTACCAATTGTTATCACAGACTTAAAAAACCCAAAACAACTGTGACACTCCCACATCTAAAATTTGTAAGTGACCACAATGCAATAGGCCAAAAAACTGGCATGGTAAAAGTATCCCTATTACGCACTTGCCCCATACATGTGTGTGTATATGTAAATACCCTACACCCAGGCTGACACTTCTTAGAACCTTTACAGTGCAAACAGAAACTGCTGGCCAAATAAACATATGCAGTACACCAAAAAAACTCACCACACTTTTTGTCATTTGACTGCTTCCTCCCTATATCGAAAAGACCCACAAAAAATTGTTGATGGCCAATCATCAAGAGGCACAGTAAGCATTAGGTATTTGCACCACAAAAGCACTGAACAACACAAATTATCATGCTATGATATATCTACTCAATTGTGAAGAATCCCAGTGCACTGTCCAGTTCAAAAATGCGAACTTCAATTTCCTGCCAGGGCCCACCTTGAGTGCCTAAACACATTGTTTTACAAGTCGGAGCTTAGGGGTCAGACCCCCACATCCAGCACAGTAGCCACAAATCTGCCTGCCATTACATCATTGGCAAACAAACAATACAAACATAGCCAACATTCAGCATAGGCTTACCTAAGAAGGCATGGACTAGCAGATTCCACAATTCTGCACCCCCAGCACTGCAAAATCATACATCGGGTACTCCGATCATTTGAGTGTGGAAATCAGGCATTAGCTAAAGAGTTTAACAAGATGGATGTCTTTTTATGAGGTGTGCCATGATACTGACCATGCCTCCACAATTCTGCAAAATTGCACCAAGTTTGTCAATGTTGTCTAAATATTATCACGTCCGACAAACAAATCGCAACCGTTCCACGAACTCTGGAGGATAACACATCACACCACAATGAAGCGCACGTGTCTCCTCACGTACCTGCAACACTACCTTGTTACATACGCCCGGCTACCACCGACCACACCACTCGCTCGTATCTTGCCCGCTTGAGCCAAAAGCACGTGCCGCCAGAAGGGACGTCCGTCAATCTAGCAGCAGATTGATATCCAATTGCCAGTTGGATATTGCGGGGCGTCTCGATTGCCGCCAAATTTGGTGTGCGGGGCCTTCTCAACACGCTGATTCCGAAAATCACTGCCTTTGGGGTGGAATTTTGCGTAATTTTCGAGTTATACGCTGCGTAACATCCCAATGTGATATTGCGAGGCGTCTCGATTGCCTCCAAATTTGGTGTGCAGGGCCTTCTCAACACGCTGATTCCGAAAATCAATGTCTTTGGGGTGGAATTTTGCGTAATTTTTGAGTTATACGCTGCGTAACATCCCAATGTGATATTGCGGGGCGTCTCGATTGCCGCCAAATTTGGTGTGCAGGGCCTTCTCAACACGCTGATTCCGAAAATCAATGTCTTTGGGGTGGAATTTTGCGTAATTTTGGGGCCTTCTCAACACGCTGATTCCGAAAATCACTGCCTTTGGGGTGGAATTTTGCGTAATTTTCGAGTTATACGCTGCGTAACATCCCAATGTGATATTGCGGGGCGTCTCGATTGCCTCCAAATTTGGTGTGCAGGGCCTTCTCAACACGCTGATTCCGAAAATCAATGTCTTTGGGGTGGAATTTTGCGTAATTTTTGAGTTATACGCTGCGTAACATCCCAATGTGATATTGCGGGGCGTCTCGATTGCCGCCAAATTTGGTGTGCAGGGCCTTCTCAACACGCTGATTCCGAAAATCAATGTCTTTGGGGTGGAATTTTGCGTAATTTTCGAGTTATCCGCTGCGTAACATCCCAATGTGATATTGCGGGGCGTCTCGATTGCCGCCAAATTTGGTGTGCAGGGCCTTCTCAGCACGCTGATGCCGAAAATCAATGTCTTTGGGGTGGAATTTTGCGTAATTTTTGAGTTATACGCTGCGTAACATCCCAATGTGATATTGCGGGGCGTCTCGATTGCCTCCAAATTTGGTGTGCAGGGCCTTCTCAACACGCTGATTCCGAAAATCAATGTCTTTGGGGTGGAATTTTGCGTAATTTTTGAGTTATACGCTGCGTAACATCCCAATGTGATATTGCGGGGCGTCTCGATTACCTCCAAATTTGGTGTGCAGGGCTTTCTCAACACGCTGATTCCGAAAATCAATGTCTTTGGGGTGGAATTTTGCGTAATTTTCGAGTTATACGCTGCGTAACATCCCAATGTGATATTGCGGGGCGTCTCGATTGCCGCCAAATTTGGTGTGCAGGGCCTTCTCAACAAGCTGATCCCGAAAATCACTGCCTTTGGGGTGGAATTTTGCGTAATTTTTGAGTTATTAGCTGCGTAACATCCCAATGTGATATTGCGGGGCGTCTCGATTGCCTCCAAATTTGGTGTGCAGGGCCTTCTCATCACGCTGATTCCGAAAATCAATGTCTTTGGGGTGGAATTTTGCGTAATTTTCGAGTTATATGCTGCGTAACATTCCAATGTGACAATGCGGGGCGTCTCGATTGCCGCCAAATTTGGTGTGCAGGGCCTTCTCAACACGCTGATTCCGAAAATCAACGTCTTTGGGGTGGAATTTTGCCTAATTTTTGAGTTATACGCTGCGTAACATCCCAATGTGATATTGCGGGGCGTCTCGATTGCCTCCAAATTTGGTGTGCAAGGCCTTCTCAACACGGTGATTCCGAAAATCAATGTCTTTGGGATGGAATTTGATTTGATTTGATTGACATTGATTTTTCAATCCAATCCAAACCAATTTCCAAAGACATTGATTTTCGGAATCAGCGTGTTGAGAAAGCCCTGCACACCAATTTTGGAGACAATCGAGACGCCCCGCAGCATCACATTGGGATCTTACGCAGCGTATAACTCAAAAATTACGCAAAATTCCACCCCAAAGACATTGATTTTCGGAATCAGCGCGTTGAGAAGGCCCTGCACACCAAATTTGGAGGCAATCGAGACGCCCCGCAATATCACATTGGGATGTTACGCAGCGTATAACTCAAAAAGTACGCAAAATTCCACCCCAAAGACGTTGATTTTCGGAATCAGCGTGTTGAGAAGGCCCTGCACACCAAATTTGGCGGCAATCGAGACGCCCCGCATTATCACATTGGGATGTTACGCAGCATATAACTCGAAAATTGCGCAAAATTCCACCCCAAAGACATTGATTTTCAGAATCAGCGTGTTGAGAAGGCCCTGCACACCAAATTTGGCGGCAATCGAGACGCCCCGCAAAATCACATTGGGATGTTACGCAGCGTATAACTCAAAAATTACGCAAAATTCCACCCCAAAGACGTTGATTTTCGGAATCAGCGTGTTGAGAAGGCCCTGCACACCAAATTTGGAGACAATCGAGACGCCCCGCAGCATCACATTGGGATGTTACGCAGCGTATAACTCAAAAATTACGCAAAATTCCACCCCAAAGACGTTGATTTTCGGAATCAGCGTGTTGAGAAGGCCCTGCACACCAAATTTGGCGGCAATCGAGACGCCCCGCATTATCACATTGGGATGTTACGCAGCATATAACTCGAAAATTACGCAAAATTCCACCCCAAAGACATTGATTTTCAGAATCAGCGTGTTGAGAACGCCCTGCACACCAAATTTGGCGGCAATCGAGACGCCCCGCAATATCACATTGGGATGTTACGCAGCGTATAACTCGAAAATTACGCAAAATTCCACCCCAAAGACATTGATTTTCGGCATCAGCGTGTTGAGAAGGCCCTGCACACCAAATTTGGAGGCAATCGAGACGCCCCGCAATATCACATTGGGATGTTACGCAGCGTATAACTCAAAAATTACGCAAAATTCCACCCCAAAAGACGTTGATTTTCGGAATCAGCGTGTTGAGAAGGCCCTGCACACCAAATTTGGCGGCAATCGAGACGCCCCGCATTATCACATTGGGATGTTACGCAGCATATAACTCGAAAATTACGCAAAATTCCACCCCAAAGACCTTGATTTTTGGAATCAGCGTGTTGAGAAGGCCCTGCACACCAAATTTGGCGGCAATCGAGACGCCCGCAATATCACATTGGTATGTTACGCAGCGTATAACTCGAAAATTACGCAAAATTCCACCCCAAAGACATTGATTTTCGGAATCAGCGTGTTGAGAAGGCCCTGCACACCAAATTTGGAGGCAATCGAGACGCCCCGCAATATCACATTGGGATGTTACGCAGCGTATAACTCAAAAATTACGCAAAATTCCACCCCAAAGACATTGATTTTCGGAATCAGCGTGTTGAGAAGGCCCTGCACACCAAATTTGGAGGCAATCGAGACGCCCCGCAATATCACATTGGGATGTTACGCAGCGTATAACTCAAAAATTACGCAAAATTCCACCCCAAAGACATCGATTTTCGGAATCAGCGTGTTGAGAAGGCCCTGCACACCAAATTTGGAGGCAATTGAGACGCCGCGCAATATCACATTGGGATGTTACGCAGCGTATAACTCAAAAATTACGCAAAATTCCACCCCAAAGACGTTGATTTTCGGAATCAGCGTGTTGAGAAGGCCCTGCACACCAAATTTGGCGGCAATCGAGACGCCCCGCAATATCACATTGGGATGTTACGCAGCGTATAACTCGAAAATTACACAAAATTCCACCCCAAAGACATTGATTTTCGGAATCAGCGTGTTGAGAAGGCCCTGCACACCAAATTTGGAGGCAATCGAGACGCCCCGCAATATCACATTGGGATGTTACGCAGCGTATAACTCAAAAATTACGCAAAATTCCACCCCAAAGACATTGATTTTCGGAATCAGCGTGTTGAGAAGGCCCTGCACACCAAATTTGGAGGCAATCGAGACGCCCCGCAATATCCAACTGGCAATTGGATATCAATCTGCTGCTAGATTGACGAACGTAGGGCCTTCTCAACACGCTGATTCTGAAAATCGATGTCTTTGGGGTGGAATTTTGCGTAATTTTCGAGTTATATGCTGCGTAACATCCCAATGTGATAATGCGGGGCGTCTCGATTGCCGCCAAATTTGGTGTGCAGGGCCTTCTCAACACGCTGATTCCGAAAATCAACGTCTTTGGGGTGGAATTTTGCGTAATTTTTGAGTTATACGCTGCGTAACATCCCAATGTGATATTGCGGGGCGTCTCGATTGCCTCCAAATTTGGTGTGCAGGGCCTTCTCAACACGGTGATTCCGAAAATCAATGTCTTTGGGGTGGAATTTTGCGTAATTTTTTAGTTATACGCTGCGTAACATCCCAATGTGATGCTGCGGGGCGTCTCGATTGTCTCCAAATTTGGTGTGCAGGGCTTTCTCAACACGCTGATCCCGAAAATCAATCTCTTTGGGGTGGAATTTTGCGTAATTTTTGAGTTATACGCTGTGTAACATCCCAATGTGATATTGCGGGGCGTCTCGATTGCCGCCAAATTTAGTGTGCAGGGCCTTCTCAACACGCTGATTCCGAAAATTAATGTCTTTGGGGTGGAATTTTGCGTAATTTTCGAGTTATACGCTGCGTAACATCCCAATGTGATATTGCGGGGCGTCTCGATTGCCTCCAAATTTGGTGTGCAGGGCCTTCTCAACACGCTGATTCCGAAAATCAATGTCTTTGGGGTGGAATTTTGCGTAATTTTTGAGTTATACGCTGCGTAATATCCCAATGTGATGCCGCGGGGCGTCTCGATTGTCTCCAAATTTGGTGTGCAGGGCTTTCTCAACACGCTGAAAATTCCACCCCGAAGACGTTGATTTTCGGAATCAGCGTGTTGAGAAGGCCCTGCACACCAAATTTGGAGGCAATCGAGACGCCCCGCAATATCACATTGGGATGTTACGCAGCGTATAACTCAAAAATTACGCAAAATTCCACCCCAAAGACATTGATTTTCGGAATCAGCGTGTTGAGAAGGCCCTGCACACCAAATTTGGAGGCAATCGAGACGCCCCGCAGTATCACATTGGGATGTTACGCAGCGTATGACTCGAAAATTGCGCAAAA